GAGTTACATCTTATAAACCTTCCCAAGTAATTTATCTTCTTTGACGTGCTTTCAAGCGTGTGTCACGTAACAACTTCAGTCAAGTCTCACGTTGCGTTGTATTGATAATTTTCTGAAAAAAAAAAAAAAAAAAAAAAAAATAGAAATTAATGAGTTCGAGTTAATTTTCAAAAAGTGTCATCAGTCACACATCCGCCACTTTGGCGCGCATTCCTCTCTCTTCGCCGGATCGAATTCAATTAAACAGACAACAAAGCGACGCTAATGTCGAGCTCTCGAAAGATCCTCCTTTAATTTATCCCTTTAGTACGCTTTCAATTCGTTTGACCCGTTCATTCGTCTGTAAAAATCGCTTTTACCGCTTAATGGTCGCTCTCGTTATCGTACGTTGCACTTGCGATTACAATCGATCAAAGGAATAAAAAAATCTCCCGCGTTTGCTTCACAAAACACAGTATCTGCGCGTTATATTGTGAAACTATAAAAGACGCGACGCGCAAAACAAAGATTGATGATTACAAGATACACACACTCACGTAAATATATTTTAAATGATTTAAATGATCGAAATAAAAATTAAATTATTTTTCAGTCTAAACCTAGATTTGTAAGACCTTTGTTTTTAGGTTCGCTCCCTAGTTCCCCGGACTAGAGAAAGTTGCGCCATCGGCATCGCAGTTCTGCTCGATGTCGCAATGATTCTTACCGGGACGGGATTAGAATCCGTTCCGCAGTAACGCGAGCCGTTTTATCTCGATGACCGTCTGTTACCGAAGGTGTTCTCAACGTCACAGGACAATAACTATGTATTCCAATCTACGCGCGGCGATACGTGTCGCAACAAACGAAGGGAAAATGAAACCCGTATATTGTAACAATATACGAGAATCGATCGAGAACCATGATCGACAAGGCAATACAATTAACTATACATACGTAAGTGTGACACGGTTGAAGGTCAATTGTTTTTGTTATTTAAAACACCTACATACGCGCAAACATTTGTGTTCAAGTTGCTTTGCGTTAACAAGATGTGATATTTTCTAACGCGCAGCCTAGACTCCTAATAAGATCGGCAATCGATCGATACACCGTAAGAAGATTAAAATCCAAACGTAGCAGATGGCGGAAAATATTGGGGAAGGCTGGGGGAAAGATCCCATGTATCTTTAATGGGGAAACTGATTCATCCATTTTTACAAAGACTCGACGCGCTCTCGGGAAACGGGATAGCCACGTGTCGAACACAGCGCAGCCTGCGGTTAATCCCGTGGATTACAATTACCGATTTGCCAACGAAGCGCAGGGTCGCGTTCAATTAACCTTCGATACACGAGCTTCGTACGATCTTCCGATTGTTGCTGGGATCCTAATCGTGCATGACGGGATCTGAAAACTCCGAATTCGTTCTCGTTAATTCATAACACAGATGATTTAATGGCGCGCGCGCACGAAGCGGAAGAGAGACTAGTTTCTGACTAAACATCAATCTTCATTCTCGCTAGCTGATGTCGAAGTTAAGTAATTAATGTTAACGAGTGGTCTCTTCGCGATATGTGACTTCGAGATTTTTTCCACACTTACGGTGATTGAATAACCGACCCCCGTGATCGAAAACTGTTAACAGATTTTTGTCTCGCGAGATGTGGCGCGCGAATACACCGCGCATCCCTCGTCAATTATTCAATTATCCACTTACGTGAATAACTGTAAAACTTACAAGAGCCTATATTAAAACGAACACGCGTACATCCGTAACGAAATTCTATTATCCACATAGTAAAAATATTCTACAACGGCGAACAAAAATATTCTATGCGGTTTCTTTGTGCAAACAAAAAAAGTGTGTTTACTTTATCTTTACAGTAATAAAAATATCCATTGTGAGAAGATCAACACAATGCGGCTTAGTTTCTTTCGACACTCGAAAGTGATCTTTGATCAGACATCGCTCGTTACTGGCATTTCAGATCGGAAAGAATAGTCTTTTGTATATTGACGGACTGACTGCGCCTCTCTCGATATAAAGGCGAAAGGCGATCGCTGCGCTCAACCTTATTTCCAAGTTAAAAAGCCGATTTATCTTATTTGACCACACCTGCAACTGGATTGATGAAGAAATAAGAGGCTTTCGCGGTGTTTGTGTGTTCTCTCTCGATCGTTCTTTCGAGGAACAATATAAACCTGTTCACCTTTTCAGGAGGGAAACCTTTCGTTGTTTTCTCTGTGCGCGCATCGCAAATATAATCAAATAGTTGAGAGACGAAAGGTTAAGCAGTCACGATAGGTCGCATTTGCATTACAACTTGTGTTTTACGTTCCTCTTCCTTTTTCGGGACAAGTTAGATATTTGATAAACGAAATGCGAGCTGATGCTTCTTAATTGGAAGATTATTAGTAATATCGTTGTTAATATATTAAAAATTAATAGAAACAGAAATTGTGGACTTGTTTCTCTTCTCGTTGCTACATTGTAGACCTCAGTGATAGTGGACGGTTCTGAATATTGGTACAGACAGGTTTATCGTGACGCGGACTGAATAAATCCGAGATCAATGTCTCTTGCACCGTTAACCCTGCGGCCTTTTCACGCGGCTTCGCTTGATCGAGAATCCGATCTACCTACCATCCAACGAACTCCGCTGGTTTCACGCCTGAATGACCGCGTAGATCGACAATCTTTCTTCTTCCGTCGCTTCCTTGAGAAATCCCGACGAATGTGGCTATCCGGCAATTTCACGACGAGAATCGGAGAGATCCGTTCGAGATTTCTAAAAAAAACGGACTTGATTTGAAAACAATTTTGACCTGATAAAAGTATCTTTTTTTTCATATCAAGACGGAATTAATTTTTGAAAGAAATAGATTGATAATAGATAATAATTAATAATAAATCTTGAAAACGTTTTTTTTTTTTCATCGCATTTTTCCCAAGAGCTTGAATATGCAATACTTATGATTTTCATCGATCTGTGAAGATAAAATTGCGGCTACCGGCAATTCGGCCCTTAAGGTAGTCGACGGAACACCAGCAGCGGAAGCGACGATTTTAAGTGCGGACTGAAAGACATATTTCGGGACGCGTTCTATATTTACGCGCGGGATGTGCGCACCTATGCGCACGAGAGAGCGCCGAGCGATTTACGCGTCTGCGACTCTCTTGGCATTCCACGCGACTTTCTTTGTGGTTCCCCCGAGTGCACGCGCACGCACGCACGCACGCACGCACGCCACACGCGCCGCTTCGGAATCTCGCTCGCCGGAATGCGCGCGAAACTCATCGTCAGGCACAGAGACTTCATCTTTGACCACCGACCGGCAACATTCGCGAATTTATGTGGCGCCTAAATTACGTCGCGCTGTCGCCTAATATGAATTAGCATTGTCGCTGACCGAGACGTTGTCCCAGCCTGTGTATATATCAATTGCCGGAATTAAGCCGTCGATCTATTCGTGAACGTGCGATACGAAGATATTGTAGACAAATCTATAAAAAAAGAAAACTACAAAGTCAATATTTTTGTTTGGTAGTACATCGCTTCTTTCTAAAAAAAAAGAAAAAAAATACAGGAAACTAAGGCACTTTTTCTTCTAAAAATAATTTTAGAATCCACTAGAGATCTAAAAGACACGTGTGCTCATTCGTGTCTACGATTTACTAAAAGTTCGGTCCAATGTTAGGTTTTTGTTTTTACACGTAGTACGCGTGAAATAGAAATGTGAATTTCAAGTTGAGAAACGCAAATGCTTATTCGAATTCAGTCGACCTTTACGAGCGCAACAAACCGCCAAGAAGGAGATTGCGATCATAATTCAAGAGAGCATCCGCCTTGGCGATCTGCGGCAACATTCCGCATAGTTTCAGCTCGTACGCGCCGTTTTCAGTCTAGCATCATTACGCGTAATTTATAATGATCGTACGGTAGACATCCTGCACGCTTCGCGGCTAATAAAGGCAACTTATCGTTGCCGCATATCACGAGAAATGACGCCCAAATCTTGTAAGCTTTCAACATGGCTTAAAACTTACGTGTCATCAATTTCAAATCTACTCACCGTGAAATCTAACCCTCCAGAAATCGATCGTGCACACATCTTGGCACAAACGGATTTATTCGACTTTTTCTTTCGCAGTTGCAGTAACAGCGCGTGATTTTTACGATGTTTTCTCGATAACGTAATAAACAAAAAAACAACAATTGATATAAACAATAATTATACTATATCATATAATTATGTTTTACAATACCGTTTTGCTCCCGATTTTTTTAGTTTTATAATTTTACACACGATGCACATTCTCAAACTGAACGGAACTGACGAATCGCCACGCGGTCGTCTTTCGAAGCAATTTGTACACGACGACTTGGGCTTCAGCTGACAACTCGCATATGTCGCAAGTTTCGATTCCCCGGCTGAAGTAGCTCGACGCTCTCTACGTCGTTTGCAAAGTGCCAGTTAGACGGAGAGATCCCTCTCGGGTCAGAAATTCATTCGTGACATTCTCCGCGTAATCTCGCACTGGCAGCGTTGTTTTCGGGCACACATACCGTAACGTTGCTGCACGCCGCGCGCGATTTAGAATCACTCGGCGAGCGAAATCGGCAGCGCGCTCCGCTGATGTCGTCGGGATTATCCGCGAGACAGAGTCTTATCGCGTGCGGAAACACGCCCTCTTCGGACACTTTGAGCTCCCGTATTGCGAGTACACCCTCTCGACGGAAATTTATGCGAACTGTAATTCATGTTTACGTTTGACGTGTTTCGTTCCGCTTGAGTTTTCTCGCTCCCGTTCTCGACATCTCGCGAAAGACTTGGAGTTTCGGCTGTTATGTACGAATAAACGAAATCTTAACAAGAGAGGAGAGAGATATTTATAACAATTAGATACAAAAGTTGGTTCTTTGCACATCTAATTTAATTACTCTGAAAAAAAAATACTACAAAGTTTCGAGCAAATAATAATATAAAAATATATCAAGTTTGTTACAAAAAACACTTTTCGTTTTACGCTAAAGCTATATTATTTACTAGCGGAAACAGTTTTTATAATTCGAGTAAGTTCATTCGAGTAAGTAACATAAAAATATATCAAATTTGTTACAACTTCTTGTTTTACACTAAAGCAGTTATATTATTTACTAGTGGAAAGTTTTCATAACGTTTTTTGCAGGCAAGAAATCTTTGTTACTTTTTTCGTTATATAACGCTTGTTTTACTATACTATAGTATGAGTACATAAATATATAGGATGTTCAAAAAAAATATAAAATATTTTAAAGACATTTAGTAAGCTACAAAATAAGTCGAAAAATCGTAATAAATATCTTGCGTTTCCTTCAATAAAAGGGGCAAAACAACAACTGTGTTATTTTTTTGCATAAATCATAATAAACATATAAAACAAAAATAAAAATAAAAATAAATCAAAGTTTACAATTAAGCTTATATATAGTATAAAGCAAAGATCTTTTTGATCGATGTAAACGTGCTAAATGTTTGTGCACGATATATTGTGAAAAAATAAAACAAAAAATAAAAATATCAAGAATGGCTCATTTGGGAAACAAATCGAATCTACTTGTTTACTGATACTTTTTGACTCTTTTTGCAGCGTACTAAAAATGTCTTTCTTTGAAATTTTTTAACCAGAAAAAAAAATTTTTACTCTTTAAAATATTTTATCTTTTTTTTAAACATTTTTATGTACATATTATGAGTATGTACTGACTCTCTCATATGTCATCTCGATAAATCGAAAGTTACTGAAATCATTTTGCTAACTTTCTTTACTTCTGCGGATAATTACGCGCAATTACAATTACAAAAATAAAACTAATAATAATGATGCAAAATAAAATATGTGTATAGTTATTACTATAATATAACTAATAATTGTATTAGTATAGAAAACTTACTACTTTGATCAATAATAAAAGCCTGCAGTGTTTCTTTTTATACGTGTTGGTGTACATGTCAATTTTGATTTACAAAGTTTGTAACAAAAACGAAAACATTTGCAGTTTTGATTTACATTTCGCATTTTATATCTTGCAAGTACTCATCATGTTGTTTGTGAAACTGAAGTATATGCTGAACTATATGTTTATATCGTGTAGGAGAATAGACAAGTTGCGTTATACCGTCGTTTTCGACGATAATGCACAGCTGCTTGCATATCGCGTATTTTAAAGACTCGGGAATGACGAGTAGGTTTGCGTGACAGTCGTACAGATATCTTGAAGCTTCCAAGTCCTGTTTTTTCAAATTTGACGCCAGACGGATGGCCACAAGCAACGGCAACGACTGCTGCACATATTCATCGGGAAGAATCAAGAGAAATATGGGCGAGAAGAGCATTCTCGGAAGATTGGGAAACAAATCAAAAGGCATGTGAGAAATACCCGGGATATTGAACTTGAGCATCCACAGCATTATGCTCGGGAAGCACTTAGCTATCTTTTGAAATGTGAGATCCTCGTTGAACAACTTCAATGGGTCATTGCAATACTTGTCGAAAAAAAGTTGCTTCAAAGCTTGTATGGTTCTTGCGTTCGAACTTACGGACAGATTGTACTCTTGTTCCAGATAATAAAAATAGCATATAGCAACGATATCTTTGTGTATTGCCATATTGTTTGAGAATACGATGTTGCGTATGCAATTATTATTGCGCGCGTAGTTGTAAGACAATCGGAAAAGCGCGTTGGGATAATTTGCTACGCGAAGACTTATCATGCGATGCTTTAAAATAATTTTCTTGATAACGGTACTCGAATTGACAAGAAACACCGAAGTGAACTTTTCATTCGGATGAGCTCTCACAAAGTCAAATTCGAGAAGTCTCTTTTGCGGACGGATGTTTTTTCTCAAAAAGCCGTTCATTAAGTCTATTAGTTGACGCATAAAAATGGTCTCGTCTGTGATTTCCATTATTGTTCGCAGTGCTCGAATATCAAGCGAGTGCAAATGTTCAACTTCGAATCGAAGGATAATTGCATTTCGTATGATCTTTGATTTTGAAGAATCACGATCTTCAATTGTATGTATGTCAAAACAATTGTCCGGAGCGTCCTTTTACATGCTGTAAGTCAGTCCGAGTTAAGCGCACACGCACCTATAGTTACGATCTGCGCATAAAAATCCGTGTAATATGTTAGTTTCACGTAGGTAGGTAGGTAATTCACAGCACAACGATATGTATATAATGGGTTATTATTATTACGTGTTAATATTATTGCGTTAAATCGTTGTTATTAAAACGATAATTGAGACTATGTAACGAGAGAGGCAGTAATTATATAGTATTCGAGAACGTTATTTGCGTCTCAAAAAATATTTACAACCGCGCAAATTATACGTGTAACATTTATATAAAGTTAAAAATTATATAAAAAAACATGGATTTACATTTTGCTGTACCTGTGCGACTATTATTCCGCAAGGAGAGTAGAAAAAGCGATTCTATGTGTGTAGGTTATTCCCGCATCATGTGTTTGTGTATCTCTAACGGTCACCTTTGCTAACTTCTGATGTTTCGAACCAGGTAAAAAATAAATACGTTAATCACTATAATACATGTGATAAGTACGTAGAATTAACACTCATCAATGCAATGTGCAATGTTGTACCTGTAATAATTCACCAAAAAGAAAACTGAAATAGAGAGAGAATCTTTCTCGCACGTGTTGTATGATTAAGACTTGTCGACCTACAGAACTAAACTAACTGTCGCTTCGTTACCACATGTATACGCTTGTATATGTATCATACATTGTGTGTGTGTGTGTGTGTGTGTATGTGTATTGTTTATATAGAATGTAGTCGGATTGTGTGCCGCGTCAGTAAGTTTCTTATTATTTGAATAGCGAGAATTTCAAATAATTTTCAATCGATCAATTGTACGAAAAATTAATGCAAATAAAAAATTGGTAACAATAGCAATTGTTAACAATAGCGCATGTAAAGTTGATTTAACATGTACTCTCGGCACGACAATCGAGAAAAACGATCAAAAATCGATAGATTTCAGCAGCATTTGTTTTATCAAATGATTATGTTTGAGCGATTCCGATTTATTCTGTATAATCGATATTTTCGTACAATCAATATTTTTGTTACTATCGCTTTTACTTCTCAGAAAATCTGAGTTTCGAGAGAAGGTCTCGAGATATTATGGTACATCTATAAGCATCTAATTCGGCGCCACCTGCGCTTCCTAGCTCGAGCGTGCGCGGCCGCTAGGCACTTATGAAACCTGCGCGGCACGCGGCTCGACGGCCAGTCCGATTCCTCGTCGCAGTGCGATACGGTCGATAGAAGCAAGCCACGTCGCGCAACCCACGGTGGTTGCAGTAAAATGCAGTGACGAACGCGCCATCGACGCGTGGCCACGCGAGGAATCATCCCCCCGTGAATGACCCGCTTTTCTTTCCCTCTCGCGCGAGAAGATTCGTTCATTCCGCTCGTAAATGTCGACGAAACCGCGACCACGTGAACGAAATGTCATTGTGAATTTCGGAGCACTCTTGAAAATTCGCGCATACGTCGAGTAAAATCTTAACGCGTGTGTTGGTGCGAAATTATATTCTGATTCTCGCAAAAAACAGCTGTTTGACATCAAAAGTTTCGCAGAGGTCTTCGACAATCGTCGGCTCTTGCAAAAAACTCTGATAATTTTTTTGAGACTTCGTTTATCATCGACCTCATATGCATAACAGCTGTTCGGAGATTTTTTGAATTTCTGAAGGTGATTTTGTTTGAGACAAAGATTTATACAGAATCATTAACAAGCTCGCAGATAATCATCCGCGAAATCGGACCGATTCATCGCGATCACGTGAATCGTATTTTTATTTTTTATTTTTTTACGTTTCTGCAAGTCTCGACAGTCGAAAAATTACGGCCGGAGAGAGTTTGCACAGATTGTCTCCATCGATCACTCTCTCTCGTCAGAATTTCCCGACGTAAAGAGTCGCGACACTAGCTACCGATCTGAGAGAGACCGGCGCAAAAGGAGGCAAAAAAAATTATCAAAAAAGTACAGGAAGGCGGATTGCAAACAAACACGCTTGAACGAACATCAGCCAACTATAAAACCGCGAGCAAACAGAACTGAAGCGTCACCATCGCCGTGACATTGGACGTTGCTGCAAAAACTGTTTACGTGTCAAGTCGATACCACGACAAAGATACTCTCTGTCGAATTCACGCGGCGAGCACTTATCCGACTCGTGCCACGTGTGAATCGAAGATTAAAGAGGAACATGTCTCCTCACGGTCTCACATTTTTTGACTATTGTACAAATTTATTGTGACGTATCAGTTGAAACTCGAAAGACAATGCTGTTTATTTCTAAACCTCTCCATCAGAAAGATATCGCAAAATTATCTTCGAGTCGACGCGAAGAGGAACGAGCGTTGACGCATGAAGAGACTGCAGTTTGAAAGTCGGAGGATCAAGGCGGACGAAGTAGAGGGTTGTAAACTATCGATTGACCCGTGTATCTTGAAGAGGATGCTCTCTTTGGTATCGTGAGGAAAGCGGAGTTCACGTCGCAGTCACGTGCGAAGAAGACGAGTAGAGCGAAGGAGAGAGAGAGAGTCGAAGTGCGCGAGGGAGGAAGAAAGACCGACCTTCACACACAGGCGGAGCAGGCGACGCCACGACGTCGTCGTCATGGAAAATCGATTCGCCGCCGACCATCATCACCACCCCGCTACAACCACCCGTCGCGGTGCAATGACCTCCAAACCGGGAAAATCCTATAGCGTGAGGTAAGTGGCTTCGTGGTTAGAAATCAGAGGGCGAATCGCGCGCGCGCTGACTCGAGGAGAAGGCGGGGGAGGAAGAACGGCGAACTGACAGAGTGAAGAAAGAGCCCACGAAGAAAATAACCGACGGCTTCACCCGCCGATGTCTCGACGTCTACGACTTTCGCGACGTTTTTCTCTATTTTACTTCCGGCCCCCGCGTGGCTTTCCGACGATTTTAAACGCGCGACGGGATGAGCGCCGCGCGCGTTGCTGCTTTTTTGACGGAAAGAGAAAGTAATGGTTTTTCTCTCTCTCTCTCTCTTTCTCTTTCGGGAAGCTTTGATGCTTCACACGCGATTGGAGATCTTGTCGAGGCGCAATTGAGGAAATGCATTGTAATATGCATAAATTATGGTCGTTGTAATTATATATTTTTTAATATATTTCTTGTCTCGTTGTACTATATATTTTTTTAATTTTTAAAGAATTTGTTTAAATTTTATAAAAGAGTAAAGTAAGTTTCGATGCGGAACACTTTTTCTAAGCGCATGTCGAATGGAAGTCTCGAGGTTGTTTTCCAAGAAACGTACAATTGTTCTTTTGAATCAATTTTACAATTTCGCGGAATAAATAACTGAAAGAGTCCGCAGAGCAATCATTGTTCATCAATTGCAACGATAATGAGGCTGTTGAAAGCGCTTGCTTAAATCGCTTTATGCTTCACGTGTTTTCGCGAAGCCCGAGTTTTTTAAACCGAACGTCGAAAGACAAGGTCGTCTTTCGTTCGCGCGACGCACGCACGATTCCGCAAAAATTCGCGTCGTCTCGCACGCAGCGCCTATAATTCGCGTGTTCGTAAACATGCTGCCGTCGCAGCAAAACGCCGCTGTTGTCGCATTTGATTCTGCATTCAAGAGAATAAAGAACTCATTCTCACATTGGCCATGTGTCGCTGCTAAATGCAGCTGTTTTAATTTTAGTTCTTTTGTGCGACTTGAGGCGTTTTATGACGTTATCGCATTCTGTTGTCAAACGCGTTGTCGAGCGCGTTGAGAGCGCGTTTTCCTCGCAATAATTTCTCGTTGCGTTTGTTTTTTTTTTTTTTATTCGATAAAGAAATGAGAGAAGATAATTAGCTATTTTCGATATTCTAAATACGTCGGCGATGTAAACTGAAGCATGTGCGCGCACATACACGCCGTTGCGCCGCCGATTTCGCGCGTCGCATCGTTCCAGAAGATTCCGAGCTGGCGTAGCCGGACCAGAGATACATAACTGACAGGCATAGTTATTATTTCGAACTCAGAGACTCCTTTGTGCGCGAGTGAGCGCACAGTCTTTGAATTCTCTTGGGAATTGAGATCGCCACCCCTTTTGCCGAGAGATCGCCGGAATTGCGCGTTCCGTAAATGCGCACGCACAACCAGTTTCAAGCATCGCATTGAAGTTTATACGCGCGATAGTCGAGCAAGATAAGGAAGAGAGATACGTTGCGGTTCGCTTTTTCCTCCGCGAATACGAAATAATAATTACAGTGTCTCGTACGTGAAACAGAAACGGATAAAATAAATAAAATCGGCAAAGTTAATAATAATTACACACAGTGATTTTAGTAATTAGAATAATGCTAATGGCTTTGTGATAAAAAGAAAGCAAAACAATTAGCTCTGAACAATGTTTGCTCCTTAGACTCTCGAGATTTTTTTACGTCATAAAATCCGATCGTGTCTCGCTCGTCGACTGCAAGAATCAAAGACAATTGGGAACGAAAAGTAATTGCTCTTGGTTCGGCAGAGCGTCGAGTCTGATTTTCAGTCCTTATTCCGATGTTCTTCGACTTACTCTCGATTTATAGCTCGGCGATCGAAATCGGAGCAACATGTGCTCGGAACTGTTTGATTCACCCACTTTTCAAGACCTTCGAAGCGACTTAAGTGGACTTTATTGTACGTAACGGCGAGTTACCGTTGTTTGTTCTACGCCCGATGATGTTAATTTTTTTTTAGCGACATCTTATGTAACACAATTGTGAAGACGCGCGATGGAAAAGACAAGAGAGGATTTGTTTTATAAATAGAACATTAAGATGGATCAACCTTGAAAAACAACAATGATAAGCATAAAAGAAACTTGGAGAGCGCTGAGTTGACAAGAAATTTAAACGCAATGCGTGTGCGTAGTAGAAATGAAAAGTATCCGAAGAAAAACTTTATCTTATTGACTCAATTAACAAACAATTCGGAGAATTATCGCGAACTTTAATTTGCACAATTAAATTTTACATCTATCGCAATCTTTTTTAGACGAATATCAAAAACTCGATGTCTAATAGTAATGTGCCATTAATCAAACAACGAACATTGTACGCCGCGTTACGTGATGAATGTTACATCGGCAATTACGTGAAAACGATGAAAAACACACGACCACGTGGGTTGTCGCGCGTATAAATAAATATTTAAGGTTCGCATTATCGTTCTCGGAAATTACAATTTTTTTTTTTTTTTTTAATAGATAGAACGGATACAGCCTTATATGTGGAATAGATTCAAAGCGATCTTTTATGCGTATGTTCTACGTATTATCGGCGAAAAAATAGACGCATAATCCGTACCACACCCTTTCGCTGTAATGATAAGTTTGCGCTGGAATAAGAAAAGGAGCAATCGCGCGCCAATGTAAACTCCGTTGTAGATAAGTTCTATCTGCTACGAGACACGAAGAGAGGAACACGCGCCGATGGGACGTTCGATAAGAAATCTGTAAATATCATCTTCTTAATAGAGAGGATTACTCTTCATTGATTACAACCGTTTGCTTTGTACGTAAAAATATCTCTCTATAATTGTGTAACGTGTGTGCGTCAGAAAAATAATTGACATCAAATGTTTTCACTCGAAAAAAATCAATTAAAAGAAAAAAATTATACGAAGTTAAAAAAAAAAAAATTTACTTGAAAAATCAATTGTTACTCGACAAATGTTTCAAAATGTGAGTTAGATGACGTAAATAGTTTGTTTCTTTAGACAGAGATATTTCCAAGGATGACATAATATATCGTGGAGTTATGAGAAAATATTAAAATACGATAAGATCTCTCTCTTAACGCGCATGCTAATGTAATTTATATCTTCGCACGAATAGAACGTTAAGTTTTTAACGACCTTTCTCTTTTTGCGGCAATTAGATGGCGTATTGCGGAATATGAAATTTAAAGGTTACGCATCAATAAATTGGTTTACAAGCAATTAAACCGAATTAAAAATCAAATATCTTTCTCTTTTGAACAAACACACGTAATTATGAGCGCATAAATCACGCGTGTGCGTCTGCGCAATATGTCGCTTTGATGTATTTTTCATCACGATTCGATTACATTCGTTACTTTCCGCGAAATAACATTTCGCGTGTTTTTTCAAACAGCGTGTTTCAGAATTCAGCGTGTGTGCGCTTTGTCAAAATACAGATGAAACGTATAAATCGTAAATATAGTATAAAAATAACACACGTTTTTGCGAACACACACGCACGGTCTACGCAAGATTCGAAGCGTTTCTTATCTTGTTCAAACTTTAATCAGGTGTGCGTATGACATGTCAAGGTGATATAAAGTGTTAATTGTCGTTGAGACACGTCTTCGTATATATCTGACGCAGTTGTACGTACATGCGAATGAAACATGTGAGTCACTAGAAATAGGACACTCTAGACGACGGTTCCGAAGGATGATTATTACGTACATATTGTTTTTTCCTCAAAGCTATTTTGGTAATTATATGCATTAGTATTGTTTCCTGCGCTATGGAAAATATTCTTATGTTGTAATCTCACGTGAGGACAATTTTGATGACACGCCCATCGTTAATTACTCTTCGAATACGACTCGAGGAAGTCGTTGTTACGGACGAAAAATATCAATTCTTTTGTTTTCTCAATTTTATGCCAAACAGCGTTCCAAAATATTCTCGCCGTCGCATTGAAAATTCGCGGAACGATGCGTCTTCAAAGCGGAATATTGGTTGACAATGGTGCGCCGTTGCGCAAACTGACTAATTATCGACTATTACGTCGGGCTAATGGCGCGTTCCCGAGTTGCGTCATTAAACCATTTGTACGGTCGCTTATAAAGTCAGATCAAAGAGAAAATTCAATGTAGGATCTGGAAGCCCCTGTGAGGGTCGAGGTCGTCCAGAAAATGTCAGCTTTCTGATAAAAACGCTCGCGTTCGCGGGTTCGTGTTAATTGAGTTCCGCTAATACAGTAAAGGCGTTGTAAAATATTCTCGAACTCAGAGATGAAGCTTGCATGAAGGTTTATTGCATATCGTAAAAGTTAGTGGATTTTGAAAGATGAGTTACTGTTTCTTTTGTTTTTTTTTTAAATTAACGGAATTGTATCAAACGTTTTCTCTCAGAACATCTTGGAATTAGCACACAATCGAGAAAAAATTGTGTGTCCTTTAGATTTTAGATGATGTTTGACTTTTACGAAGAAGTTTGTTTATATTTTTATTATTTTTTGGTTACTCTCTCTCTCTCTATAATTATACTATTATGATATTTAAATTTTCTGTTGCATTACTCTCGTGTGTGTGTATGCATTAAAATTAATAATTAAGTTGCCTGATGCGTTCAATTAATTTCTCAAGGCAACGCAATTCGAAACAAATTAATCTCAATCGCAAAGAGCGAGCAATTAAGATAATTATTCTGTTTCTTTTGTCAAGGCCGTACGAAGTGATAATTACGTGATAACATACGTTTTGATCGCATAAAGACATCTTTGATATCTCGCGGATTTTTCTGGCGCGAGAGTCTGCGCGTTTTTTTTCTGTCTCACGAGCGACCTCGTGTATCGAATTACTATGAAGTCGTAATTGATCGTCACCGGAAGCTGACCGCGATGATCTTGATCGTGTCATCCTCGCGCGTGCAACACACCGTTCGACGTGTAAAACAAGCAAAGAAATGACGTCATTTTCGGGAAAATCCGTACAAAACTTTAATCACGCGAGATTCGACGATGCACGTATGTATATATTGTATACATGAAATTGCTCAATTAAAAACTTTGCTAAAATCGATACAAACAAACTACTTAGCAGCTAATTAAGAGAAGATTTACTGTGCGATTTGCGGAAATCGTGGCGTGACGATGTTCGTTCCGTCGTTGTTTTACGCGCGGATTCGGCTACGCTGATAAGAGTTGCAACTGATTTTTCCGTTCGACGTGAAGCGTTTAGCGACGCCATATTTACGTAATCACCGTTTATTGCTCGCCGCGGGCATCGCCAATGAGGCGGTTATTATACCGCGGGTTTATTCCGCGTTTCGACTGACAACCGGCGACATTGTGATGCAGATTGTCTGATTGAAGCGATCTGTGTGTGACTCCCGGCCTTGAACAAACATCGGTATACTGTTTCGTGTGCGCTTGCCGGCGAAAAATTATGCAACGCTTATCAACCCTTGAACAGTCCTGACGAGGACGCGACGACGCGCTCGCTTGTATTGTACAGTGCGTTTCATATTACGCAACTGCAGTGCACTCAGAGAGAAAACGTGTCAGTCTGAATCTCATTTTTGTTTGTCACGCAAAAAGTTTGCGCAACTTAAACGCAGACTTTATACTTTACAACAGACTTTATTTTATTTTACAATTACAAACAGAAAATTAAGTAAATACGAATGTGAATACAACATCTATCACTTTCTCTTCGCAAGGTAATTTACTTTTTTTTCGTTGCAACATGATTCATCGAGTTTTACGTGAACTTTTTGTGTTCATCGAGCGCACTTGCACCATGCACCTCAATCGTCCCGTTAAATTTTAGATCGCCACTCGAGATTACTACTTTCCTTCGAGCAAATTGCCACTGAAAGTAGGTTTCTTTTCTTTTTACGGAAGAATACAAATGCATCAAAGCGATGAACGTCGGGTCCGTAATCTTATCCTATAATAAAGTATTCAAAAATGCAGATGGAGCACTCCGAAGGTTACCGGAAAATGAACTACGTGTCGACGAAGAAGAATAACAGTCGGATCGAAGGTCGCGATGATGCAACGAAAAGAAGTCTGGAGGATGACCGCATCGATCGTGTCTGATATTGAGATTATAGCACAATAGATTCTTTCTCTCGACGAGGAAGAACGATCGTTCAAAGAGACGGCCGTTCTTTGAACGCAAATGAAAGTAGCGTGCGAACTCGGAGTCTTTCTCTCTCTCTCTTTCTTTCTCCTCCCGGCCGGAAACGACCGGTTCTTCCTACGCGATTTCGTAAGGCTTCCTGTTGTGTCCTGTTGTTAATTGGCCGCGCCAAGTGTCAGCACGTTTCGGTGTCTTGCACGTCAGCTGTACGTGAAGCCGCACGCCAGCACGTGCCGTTGCTGTAAATTAAGTTCGTCGATAAATCGTTCAGATAACGAGAGAGTCACGGGTGGGAGTGCGGCGCTTGCTTGTTTCACTGCTGTGGTTTTTCGTACGTGAAAGTCATGCGCGAATTCGAAAATAATGTAAAATACGATCTCGCGACAAGATTCGAAAAACTTTCTTCCACAAAGATTTGCTTATTATAATTAAAAAAATTGCAAATCAAACCAATTAATTAGTACAATAATTTAATTTAGGATAAATTTTAATTAATCTCCAAATAAAAAAGTAAATTAAATATTGTTACAGCTTTCGCGTGTAGTAAATTCGGAGCTCTGTGTAGCGGTCGACACACCGCTATTATATTCGATCACGGCGGAGATCAATGCGCTTCCATTGGTCGCGAGCCGAGCGAAAGAGACGATACCGTGTTGTTCCAGAGCAGTGATTCCGGTCAGCCGGAATAGCGGTACACGCTCGGCCGTGCGTCTTTGAGTTCTCGAATTATTACGTTGCCGCTTTCCGCGAGGCGTACAGTAGCACGCTTTGTCGCGAAAGCGGAAGAAACCAAACGTGCATCGTGCACGAGAAGCTATTTTTTACCATCATTTCGCGGCCTTTCTTCTTTGTCACACTTTCCTTGCGTTGCAAACACAATCCAAATTGCGTTTCGCATCTTGTGGAGTAGACCGCATAAAGTAGAAAACAAAATGCGCATCTTTAGAACTTTATTTCATAAAATCCGGTACGTATTTCCGCAAATAAAAGTGCGATTCAAACGTGTTTCTTTTCAAGTGTCAACAAAAAGATTACAAAGAAAAAAATATAGATAAAACTAAGAATAAAAAAACTAATAAATATTAAATACAATAAACTTTGAATAAAAAATATAAATACAACTACGAAAAGAATGAAAAAAAAAAAAAAAAAAAAAAAAAAAAGAAAGACTAAATACAATAAACTTTGAATAAAAAATATAAATACAACTACGAAAAGAATGAAAAAAAAAAAAAAAAAAAAAAGAAAGAAAGACAGAGGGTGAGAGAAACCGTTTATGCGCTAACTTGGCAAATAGTAGCCGAACGAATTGCAACTCGCAAGGCAGAAACTGTCGGAAGAGTTCGTGCGCTTATGAACGCGCGCTCGCCGTAGCGCACGGGCAGTGCAGTCGCGGCGCAGCGACGCGGTACAGCGCACTGCTGCAGCTGCGCCGGGATAGTTGGTCGAGGCATGTGCGCCGAGTAACGGCTAATTGGCCACCTTTCCTCTCCGCGGGAGAGGAACCGTCTCTCTCTTTCGCCTGTGTCGTGGCCGACTCGTGCCAGTTTTGTTCGTTCTGTCGTGCAGTTTATACCGCGAGCGCAGACTTATTCCGACGCCGCGGGAGAGAACACCATGAAGTCCCGTCGGGAGCTTCGTTCGTACTAACTTTTTGACTGTCAGTCGGACACATTTACATCGTAAGTCTCGTTGTTCGTTGAGATCGATTTTCTTTCGAATCGAAGACTGAAAATAAAATAACTTGTTTGTCAACATTATGACAGAAAAAATATTCACGGAATATTAGGCGTTTTGGTAAAGTATTTTTGTATTTATTAAATATAATTTTTGTTGTTTTTAAATATACATGCTGCTTGTGTTATGTTAAAAATGTGAAAGACAAGAGGCTAACTTTGTGAAGACGAGAACGGGAGAGATAAAATGTCGAGAAATGAAATTCTTTTCATATCGGTTGCGAATTTGTGCGCGAATAACGCAGCCGCGAAAAAAGTGCCTTTGAAACTGACCGAGTGAGTGATCGTCGTGAAAGTGCATTCGAACAGGAAGTCTAATTGTGCGCTTCGGACTTTTATTTAACGTAACGCAACCGGTCATCGGAAGCCATGGACTTTCTTTGTAAGAAACAAAATCTCGGCGATAATCCACGAACTCGAATATTAAATTTACATATCGATTCTTGTGTTAAATTCGCGTTCCGTCGCGACGTAAATAATATATAAAATTCAAGCAAATGCACTGAGCAGTTGCATCGCGCCACTCGGCTATGTTTCTCAATTTCTCCACCGAATACCGCGAATTCTCGTTAAAATCTAGAAATTGCTCGGTATTTTCTTGACGACTTTCTTTCTTAATTGATTCGTGGTTAAATATTCCGCTTATGTTTTTTTTTAAACAAAACGATGCTATAGCTTGAAACCAATTCTGAAAACGCACGAGTTGTTAATTTTCCTCGCGAACTTGTGTGTGTGTGTGTGTGTGAAACCGCTACAGGAATAATATTTTCCAGAAAATTGGTCGTGAATTTTTTTCAAGCACAGAGAAAACAACGGTGGCCAAAAAAATTATTGGTAAAATAACGATTATCTCTCTCATGAGGAAACTCAATCTCGATGTTGCGCAAGGTTAAGAGCAGGTTAATGAGGCGACGCTTTCGATATAATGAGGGAGATCTGCCTCTCCTCGGCAGTCACGCCGGTCTCGACGTGCGGGCTTAATCGTCCGTCTAATTCATAGTTTCGCACGCGAGCGACGATTTACGTCGAAAGGGAATTTTGTTCTAATTATTCCGTTCTAGTTGCAAACGGCCTCGAACGTGCGCATCAACATTTCAAGTGCGACACTGCAGCGTCGGATTACACGTTGCAAGAATTAAAGTTTCTCTCTATCGATCTATCAGAGTCTCTATTAAATTTTATCAAACATTAAGAGAAACAAAAAACTTCATCGATGATTCGATCGCGGAGCTCGCGACGATCGAAAAAGACCACAGATCGTAAATCTCATTTCCGTGTGCAACAGCAGTACGCACGTATATAAGATTTAAATATCTACCGCTGTCTCAAACCGCGGAAGATATACACAAGCTGTGTTAATCGTTCGCGACACGCGTCAACGCGCAACGAGGAAACGAGATATTGATTTACACATCGTAAGAAAGTCCAGAAGCGTTCGTAGAGAGAAGGTGGTTAATAATTAAAGTTACCGGCGATCGGCGTTAATTGCACGTATCGGGGAACCGGTTCGCAGCGTGAGTTGTGTGATCGATCGTGAAGAGGAAACGGCAGCGGTCTTTATCAGCGCTTAGTTAAAACTGTTTTATAGCGCACATCGGTTCGCGCAGCCGAAGATCCTCTCTCGCGTTCTCCTGAAGAGCGTGCGATGCAAAGTAAGCAAAAAAATCTCAATAGTCGACTGTAATATTCCTGATGACGAGATGAGAACGTGACATGTAAAATATCAGACGCGTATCAATTACAATTGCGCGGATGTAAACATAATTTCAAATACTGTGGTGCAGCGCAGTGTAACAGGATCGATCATATTTTATAATTAATACATGCCGCGCGCATAACGCGTCGTTGATTGTTTTACTAATCAATGTTCCAGGTCTCCGCGAATCGGAGGGCCTCTTTCGCAATCGCTAGCTATGATCCCGCCTACCATGCACGGGCACGAGTTCAACCAGCCCCTGTCGAGGGTGGTCATGGTCCGTAAAACGGATCAAAGGACTTTCAGCAAGGGAAGACGGGGTGGCGAGCCTCTCCTGGAAACCGTTACCAGGGAAACCGTCGAACTCTTCAACGGCGGCCGAGCCGAGAGAAAATATACCTCCGAAACCAGAGACATCGTTACACCCAAGTCGAACAGGTTTGTCAGTTTTTTTTCGATCATCATTAAGTGTGTACGGATACGCTCCAAAGTTTCAAGCTTTGTCTCACTCGCGATATTAATTGAAGTGTTTACAGACGCGAGGAAGACATATATATATATATATTTTTTTTCTTATTTAAAAAAACTGTATAACATATATTTTTCAAAACATAAAAAATAATGTTTTGTTAATTTTCAATTTTTTTAAAGTTGGAAAATTTATTTCAAAGACACGATATGTTCGAGATAGACAAGCAAAATTAAGACGCGTACACGATTGAGAATTTAATGTTACATAACTTTAATATCGGCAAAACTGATGCTTTAGAAGGTAATGAATAACTCGTTTCTCAGCCGCAATTATCCTGAACGTCATTATATAGCTGTGTATGCGTCTCTGACAGAAGAAAAAAATATATACATATTCAAGCAGAGAAATAAATTGTTGGATGCGATTCGCGTAGCGTATCGAAGCAAGTGTACCGCTGTGTAAAAGTATAGATTTATGAACTCAGGCGGTGGTTATAACGCGATCTATAAATATATGTGTTTCAGTGTGATTTTTTTGTTCGTCTCTTACGTCTAAGAATTTTATGTTCCGAGTTTATTACGAAAACCAATTACCGTGTAACCCGAGAAAAAGAGTTCGAAAACCATTAATGTACACGGTAGATGCATGTAGTAATGTTCCGAACAAATTGATGTGCGTAGCGTAGTATTATCTCCCGCATTAGAAGTATTTCTTCTCGATGTACATACGTGACGATGAGGTTGCGCGTCTCCTCCCTGCACACAAACGTGTGTACCGGAAACTTGTTACACAGTTCGAAGTAGACAAAACTTTATCCGTCGTAAAGTTAGCTAGTCTATAGTGTGTTTCTCAGTTCCTTTCTCTTGGTGTACACAGCGTTTCAGTTTCGCTCGTCTCTTTTCCCCCCGTTTTTTTTTTGTCAATTTAATTTGTGACCGATTTAGCGTTTTTACTCCGATATTCACTGTGATAATGTGCGCGATAATAACAAAATTGTTTTCAAAAACGGAGAACTCGGCGAACGTTTTTCTCTGTATAAATAAGAAATAAGAAAAGAACTATTTCGAGAAAAACCGCAGAGACCGCAGGTTTTCAAGCGTGTGCTAAAAACGGAAGAGTGATACTTTGTGTTCTTTCCTTTTACCTTCTCCGTCGGTTACGAAAAACAAATCGAAGAAACATATCGTCCGACAAGTTTTCCACATTATTGCGGGGCGCACAATTAATTTCTCTCGGCACAGTCTCTCGCGAGTATAACGCTGGAAAACATCAATTGAGATAACTGATATTTTTTAATAGAACGTCGAAGTTCGAGTAATGAGAAATATTAGTAAAAGTAAGTAGGTAATTTTTTCTTTTTTTTTTTGTTAAACTTTAATTTAATATTTATCATGTTGTGTGTACCAATTGCCCTTGTAGTATGCCGTCGCTGAACGTGCACGGAACGAAAAAGAAGGTGGTCGGTTTTGTCGATCAGGTGTCGCCCGTCAGGTACAATCGCCTATGCGGCGCTGATCCGCTCAGTCTAATTGCCAAATTCCGATTCCAGTGAAGCGAGAGTAAGCATAGACTTGTCGCAAGACACAAGCGGCAGCACTGATAGTATTTTTTTATCAATGCCAGTTTACTTAGATGCTTTTTTTCGAAACTTCACTAGAATCGGTAAGTGGTCCTATAGTTTACTAGCGTACGACACGTAGTAGGTGGTGTAGAAAGCCGAGTGACAGCTGAAAGTTCGCGTGTTTGCGCTTCAAACGTAAGAAGATGGCAATTCTGACAAGAACGCCGTAAATTGCCGGCTTTCACAATGGCGTAACAGGACGATCGTTTCCGCGCGCCGCAGAAAAGAGATTTAAAGTTGTTGCTCAAATTGAAAGTATGAAAATCCCGGGAGAACTTTGGTTTTGTTTTTAAATAAACTATTGTTGCTGCATCTGATACTCGTATCTGATATTTAGATTTTAACGACAGAAAAAAACAATACAAGATATTTGGATTACGTAACGCACGTCGTCGATAAACCGATAATTTTGCGAGAAAAAAATGTTCTCGAGCCGTTTAAGAAAATGATTAATCGCCTTGAGGTACACTTTGTTGGGATTAAATTCTTATCTGCGAGGAGGAACACGTCGACGATATATACGATTCCGCCTACGCCGAGCAGCGCGGTCGAGAAAAAGTTTCTTCTCGACGCGACTTGCCTGAACGTATGGGGAATGAAATGCAGCGAGGTATAAAAATATATGAGATGAGGAATATGCAATAAAATACAATGCGCCTCGGGTCCATTATATCTCATTTCATCTCAGAATTTTCGACGATATATACTTGGATTTCAATTTTTCTCTTGACTCGTTTCTCTTTTTATGAAAATAATAATCAACAGTAAAAAGTGATTTTAAGATCGTAATAATTTGTAATTTGAAACAAAAAAATGTCAGAGTTGAATTTTATGTTTTTTGTATTTTTTAATTTGTACGTATAGATATTTTGTTTTTTTTTTTTACGTACAGATATTCAATTTTGAGTGTGTCAGATCATTTTACAATTTCAAAGTTATAAAAATAAAGATTTTCTTAAACAATAAAAGGAAACTAATATTAAAATGTTTGTTATGTAAACATTTATCATATTTGACAAATTGTTGTGTCAAAATCTTTTTATAAGATATACGGTAGAGTGTTGTACTGCGAGGCATGTCGTATTTCATTGTGATCGGGCCCTTAATGACATCACGGAGACTCATTCAGTCTCCTGTCTCTCTGGGCACGGACATAACAAAGGAGACGACAACCTTTCTCCCACGGCGACCATGGCCGTGGACGCGTTGCGACGACTCATAGGAAGAAGGAAGTACGTCCGCGAAAGCACTTATGACGATACACGCGTAGATAAAACGTGCGGTTCAAGTCGCTCACGTGGTCTTTAACAAGATCCGCCGTGCGAAAATTCTGAAATTTTCAGCTGTTTCTTGACATTCTGACGTTCTCACCATCTTCGAGCTGAATACTGACTCTCTGTGAATCAATCGTTGTCCGTTCCAAAAAATACGTTTTCCTGACACATCGATCGCGCGTAAAAATTTGATCGACGCCTGAACACACGTTACTTCGAAACGCGCGTTTAATATTCTCCGAACTGTTTTAAATTTCGAAACACGTTCGCATCATAAACGTACGACAATAAACAAACGACTCCTCGAATTCGAATAATCTCGGGTGTCTGAAAATTGGTTGTCTTTTTCAATCGACGCGTTTATTACGCGACAAAATTATACGGCACGATTGGCGACGGTCGTTTTCTGCTCGCATCCTAATGCGAAGTTAACAGCATCCGTCCGGCGGAATTGCCATTCATTAGTCGACGTGTAATCTTACGCGAAACGATCGCGCGGATTTTCATTAGCGAGCGCACAATGATTGGACTATCCGCGACACGAATTGTTTTACACGAGCGGGACAGTATTCAGCCTGATGTGAAAAAAAAAAAAAACACTACGGCGATGAGACTAGATTAGTGGCACCGTTGTAATCACGCGGCATTGCTCTTAGATGCCCTCACGATCATCGATTGTGCACGCCAAAATGACCGTGTCCAGGTGATCCGGACACTGATCGGGATCACCGATCATTTCATTGCCTCTTTTGCCTGCTCGCATCTCATGGAAAATGCATAGAATATCAAAAAATCATATTTGGAATGTTACATTTACACATCGTATGTGTTTTTTTTTAAATAAAAGATAATTCCTGCGAAAATAAATATTATATATATATATATAATTGTGATAAAATAATATAAATATAATATATAAAATGTTATTGGTCTTTATCACTTTACATTTTTAAATTATCAGAGAAAAGAAATTATCAGAATTTACGATAAACGCGTAATCTCGAATTACAATTTATTAGATCTTCAGCGTAAAAAAAATATGCGGATTATATTCGCACAATTCATTTGACTCATTCTGACTCACGAAGCTTGATGTCACACGTATATCAATGTTATCATTTATGGCATTTATTGCTCCTCTTTCTAATCGAATTTTTTTCATCCTCGAGCTTATTTATTTGTCTGTTTTCTCTCGTTATCGCTTATTCTATAACGTGCATCGATCGGCGTCTAACTTCGAAGTGAATGTTTTCTGCTTACACAATGTGAGTTTTTTATTTTTATTTTTTCTACGGTTTTTTTGTGAACTTCATTTCACAATTCTTGCAATTAAAATTACATACATTTGAAAGAAAATTATATTAAATAAAATTTGATTTACACATTCGCGCTCACAGTTGGAAACTTGGCTTTTAGTGCAAAACAAGCATCAAAAGACTCTCGATCTGCTTGTTTAAAAACGTTCAATGTTCATTGCGCGTTGCTGTCCGGAGCAAAAAGGAGCGTTTGTTTCTTCGAATACCATGTGATCGGTCTACTTCCAGGTCGAGGCCAGACTCGGTAAGGTCGAAGTCCCCGTTGACGGCGTCGCCGGCGTCACCGGGTCCGTTGTCGAATTCTTTGCACGGCAGTTTCCACGGCAGTCTAGGAAGCGACGGCATGTCCTGCAGCAGCGCCAGATCCTCCTCGGCGTCTCCCGATTCCGCAAGATACTCGTCCGCACAGGTAAAAAACGCGTCGACATTTTAACACGTCACATCCGTGTGAAAATTTATTTAGCCACGAAAAGCGAGGAAAATTCGCTCGGAAGATATGCGAACGCTTTTGAAGTTCAAAATATTTCCAAGGTTCTTTAAAGTTGAAAAATAAGGTTCTTCTTCTTGAACTTCTACCATCTAAAATTTTGAGATCTGAATAAGAGTTGAAGAGTGAAAAGGTTACAATTTCAAAATCTGAACGCGAAGAATGCGAAGAAAATTATATATTGCAACTGGCAGTAGAAACTTTCTTCAGCTCCGCATGCAAATGCGCGAAACAAAATGTTTTTATCACGCATCCGAATAAGGAAAGCAAATAGCATCACGACGCGAGCTGCGGATCGAGCTAACAACATCGCACGCAACGCTAATAAGCAATTAGATCGTGCTACTTGTGCTATATGCGATAGATCGCGCGTTTAAGATAGATGTTTTATTCATCGCTAAAATTACATTTTACGCCGTTTTATATTTTTATTCTTACATGTATGTTTTTTTTTTTTTTTTTTAATTATTTCAAACAATAACAGACGCGATTCTCACATTGAAAATATCAAGGAACGTGTATGTCCCTTCTTGATTGTAAGAAAATACGATTAGAAGCGAGGATGTTAATCGGCTACGTGACGATTTCTTCGCCGAGAGTTTCCTATTAATCAGTCCGCTGCGATCTTTCTTTATCGCGAGGTTTAGTTTCACCCTACTTGGTAAATTAGCCGCAGATCTCGCTTGGAAAGCGCAGCTTTGGCGGTCTCGCTACGCGTCGCGTGCGAGGCGGTGTGAAAGGAGCCTAAACACTAGAAGTTTCTTCTGCCGGCGGAGAAGTGCATTGCCACCTCGTGCGATGACTCAGAATCGACCCTTTTTCGAGAGTCACGTTTGACCGTTTGACCGTCCGTCGGAAAGGACCGGGCAGATCGGTGCGCCACAATTGTGCGGTTTACTTACGCGCGATGACTAATCCGTCAGAAGAGAGCTCATAGATTGCAACTCGCAAAATCAATCTTTCCGCTCCATTTTTCGCGCGCGCGCGCGCGCGTGTTGTCGCGTTCCCATTCGCTCGTCTTGTTTCCTCGTGTATGGTATATATAATGCGCGCGAAAAAAGTTCTTGCACTTCGGTTAACAGCCTTGCCCGGCAATTTATTAAACGCGCGGTTTGCCTTAATTATCACCGCAGACTACGTGCAGTTCCTGATTAATTAAAGAAATCCGTTCGAGTTTTGTTTCACCTAATTCAATGACAGCAGTTTCTCTTTTTTTTTATTTCGTTCCTTCAAACTCTACTAGTATAAAAAAATTGCTTCATTATTAACAAGAGTTAACAAGAATTATCAGAAAGTAAACATTAATATTACGCACGCATTTTAATTTTTTAAGTCGTTGATATTAGGTCTGTTCGTGTTGCTCGCACTTTTTGTACTTGTCTTTCGTTCTCCTTTTCTCACCAAAATATGAAACGTACATATCTTGTATCTTATTGTTAAATGCGCTGGGTGTAAGCAACGCGAACGGAGCCACTGACTCACTGCCTATTCTACACATGCGTCATGTGATAAGATATGGTATATATAAATAAGAACGGTCGTTAAAAAGCTCTGAAGCTATCGTCAGTTCGAGTTCTGCGAGAGGAAGTATCGCCGGTCAACGTTGTCGTGCATTTACGTCAAATCGTCATCTCTAATTTTATTCTTTCTTTGTAAGATACGTATGTAATTTCTTCTTGTTGTTCGCAATTGCGCACAGTGTCAGTAACATTTCGCAAAACAAATAGTGTGCGAATGTTTACGAACAGATTTTCTGATCGCGTGCACGACGATCGTACGAGATTCTATCTGTAGAACAATGGGAAATCGATATTCTCGGTTAGTATTGCCAAGCAAATTGTCCCACGTTTGAGAGATTGCACCTGATTTTTATTTATTTATTGATTTTTTTTTTCAAATTTTTATCAAAAAATTTGAAAGTTTATTTAGCTTTGATCCGTCATACGGTGTTCTCTCTATATGTTATAGATAACAAAGTCTGACACGCGTAAACCGTCTGTGCGCAGATCGGGGCCTCCGAAGGAATTCATCAACGTCTGCCTCGACACGCACAATTTCTACCGATCGCGGCATGGAGCACCGCCATTACGACTCAGCAAGCAGGTTACCGTTGATCTTTTTGCGCCGCAATAAAATCGCGGCCCCTTTCCCTCAAACCGAACAGCTTCCGAGAACGCAGGAAACTCGATTTTTTTATGTCCTCATTCGATCTTTTTACTTCTGGACGTTCTCGGAAACGTGGAACGGTCTCCCGCTAGCTATCTTTCCACGCCAGAAGCGCGGTGAGTAAACCTGACGATTTATATTTTTCCAGCTATGCAAAACAAGTCAAGACTGGGCAAACATACTGGCGGCTAGGGGTAGGTTAGAACACAGAGCGAATATCGATTATGGAGAGAATCTCTATTGCATGTGGAGCTCCAATCCAAAGACCGTCGTCGGTGGTGAAGAGCCGGTGAACGAATGGTACAAGTTTTTAAATTACATTATACGCACACGCGTAAAAGTATATAATAACATTTTATTTTATTATATTGTTTTTACTCAAATTAATAAATTTTATTTTTTCTCTATATTTCTCTCTTCCACAAACATAAAAAAAAACTCAACTCTAAAATGTAAGAAATTTTTTTACGCAGGTACGCAGAAGAGGCTCAACACCAGTACGGAAAGGAGCCCACAACGCTGAAGACTGGTCACTTCACGCAAGTGATCTGGAGAGACAGTACCGAATTGGGGGTGGGAATGGCCAGGAACCGGAACGGCGAGGTATACGTCGTGTGTAACTACAATCCCGCCGGGAACTTCCTGGGCAGTTTCACGGAGAACGTGCTTCCACCCGTGGATGCTAGTCCTACGAAACGAATTACCTTTACTGACCTGAAACAACAGAACGCGTTAGACGAGCAAGCGTGGCAGCAGGAGGCATTATTGGTTCACAACGAATACAGGAGAAAACATCGAGTGCCCGACTTGAGGTTGAGTCCGGAATTGACAGCTGCTGCCAAGGTACTTTTGTGAAAGTTACGATAATATCACAAGTACAATTGCTTCAGTGTCATGTATAATGGACTTGACATGAAGGAGGATAGTAAAAGAAGAAACAACAAATAAAAGCAATTGTTACGTATGTTTTTTTTTTTAATCCACAGGCTTGGGCGAATACATTACTAAATACAAACAAACTGTTACCTCAGTCGTCGTCTCCGTACGGCGAAAATATTTATTCGATGCAATGTTCCGATCCGAAATTGATCGTCTCTGCGAGAGAAGTCATTTCGAAGTGGTATTCCGAGAAGAAGGAGCACAAATTCGGCGTCGAGCCGAAAGTGCTCAACACATGTACGTATACTTTATAAAATATGATATTATGAACACACACATATAAGGCTCTTGTTTAAAAATATTAATAAAATAAATAAAGTATCAACAAGAAAAACTTCAAAGTCAAATTAGAACTTAAGTCGAATTTTGAAAATGAATGTTACAAGCATTCTCTTTAGATAAAACTCCGTTTTTAATTAATTTAAAACTCGTGACAAAATCAAGAGAATGTATTTGCTCAATGTCTATATCTCGTTTTCTCACAGGCCACTTCACTCAAATTGTCTGGAAAAACACGACCGAGATGGGTATTGCTATGGCAAAGCGAAACGGCACGTGCGTTATAGTGGCATGTTACCATCCGAGGGGTAACATAGTCGGCCAGTTCACCGAGAATGTACTAAAACCTGTGAAAAATCCCTGTTAACGCTTGATTAAGTAATTTCTGTCAATAATGTATTTATCAAATCGTGTATTTATATATCGTGCGTATATACCATGACGCAAATTACGCGAAATATATATATGATGTAAATATGATGATGATACTTGTGCATAGAGACGTAGAATAAAACACATTCCATATATACACACTTATGTTTGTAATTTTTCTGGGAGTTCTTTAATTTTATTTTAAATAATATAACTTAATTAAAATTTCTTTATAAATTAAATGCAATAAAAAAACGTCGAGACAAGGATAATTTTGATGGAAATTTTAAAATTGCTTATTTGCTTTATAATAATTTATTTATAATAAATTTACATGCACATCGCACGCATCGCGTTACAACGTCGCACATATATATATATATATATATTTTTTTTTTATATATATAGATACATTCTCTCTCTCTGTTTTTTTCTGCTTTAATTATTTTTACATTACGTACAGCCGTTTACAGTTGTATTTGTGGTCGAGGAATGCTTAATTACTTAAATCTTATCGTAAGAACCTGCTGGACGCTTCTGTAAGACTCGTGCCATTCGAAGAGAGCTCGCTCGAGGTGCGTCAAGCTCTTGCATAAACTTTCGAACTTACACGTCCATTTGCATTCGTGAGAAAACGTGTGCGCGTCTCTTTTCGACATGGAAAATAATATAGAATTATATCGCGATTTTATAAACATGGTTACGTCTAATCGCAAACCGGTGTGATAATCATTTAAAACGTGTAGATCTGTGTGAATATTATTCAAGAAAATGTGATTGTTTCACTATTTTTTCAAACCAAAATAAGTGTACGTTTAATCTTGCCTTCCAATTCGCTTTTTCAACTGTATTGTTTATCACCAATACAAGTGGAAAAAAACACGCTGCGTAAAATTTTCATGATATATAGACATCGACACAAAAATGTCAATTAAACTTAAATATACGCATTACAATTCTGCGAAAATCGCGAGAAAAAAATGATTAGTATATTTTCCTTCATCTCACATACTTAAATATAATTTATCTATAACTTCTTACATGATATCAATCTTGATATTGTAACTTCTGTTTTCTCACGTGATATCAATCTTGATATTGCAAACAAGTCAGACGGTTGCTACAATGCAACAGTCAATACAAGAGAACGTACAATATCCAACGGTGTTGATGAATATTTAAAGTAATCACCGTGTTCTCCAAACAATTTGTTTGCACGTCTCAAAGAAGTTGTGCAGATAAATGGCGGTACTCTCGCGTTATAAAGGCACGAGAATTTTAAGGAGCGATCTAAGAAAAATCTTGTGCTCTACGAGTTTTACATCACGAATGTGGGAAATAATTTCTATATTTCGTGAGATATGACAAAAAAGACGGTCTTAAATTTCAACTGTGTCAATTTCGTAATTTTGTTTTTTTTACATGACGATTTTATGTTCCAAAACGAAAAATGGGAGAAAAAAATTCGATCTTTCGCTTTTCGAAGAGTCGAGCGCACGTTGCACACGCGACAAGTAATTGTACAAAATGTTTGCACGTACGTTCATTTCGCAATTCTTCTGCGTGACTTGAGAAGATAACTTTTACGCAAGGATTCGCGGAATCGATCGTGCCCTCATTCGAGACGTAATTCAAACAATCTTCCTCGAGAGCAGCAAGCACCTCGCGAGAGATCGCCGTAACTTCGCCGCATTTAAATTGTTAAACGTGATACTCTATAGATTATAGATTTTTTGAATTCAGCTATGAAGAGTCAGGTCACACATCATATTGGGCTGATCCTATAAGTAATTAAGTATATATATACATTTTTCCCGATTAACATTATAACCGTTGTTTACCTCGCTTTTTTTCATGAGGAGAAAAACACAAACGCCTTCGATGCATCTTCTAAAAAATTCTCTCACCTTGGTGAAATCTTTGCAATTTTGTTTTCTCTTAAAGAACAAAACAAAATTTAGATTCTGTAATATTTTCGTGTTGTACTTGAAAAATTAAAAAAAAAGAGAACGTTTTTACGGATTTTCATCGAGATTACATTTGTCAAAAAAAAAAATAAAAGATATAACAAAAACACTGGATCACGATAAAAATTTAGAAATTGATGGCTCATACGCGAACTGATATTTATCTCTAAATAAAAGTGTCAATTCGATAATTATCCAATTGCATCGGACGTCTTTGCACAAATCTTTTTTCGTTTATATAAAACTGTCGAGCTTTTTATCTAAGGCGATTACTGTTTTTTTTTTTGGTTTTTTTGTTTTTGAGGGGGACGAGCTCGCGGTCATCAACATTGGGACCAGGAACCTGTTCTACTTACGACATAGAAAAACTCTTTGCCATCTTTCACTCGCTCTATCTACGTATATAAAAGTCTGCAGATCGTCATCGCCGGCGAAGGTGACGCGGTCTTTTTTGCGCTAACAATCGAAGAGAGAAAAGGATAAAGAGCTAACGAAGGAAAAAGAGCGATACAGAGGGAGAGAGAACAATTTGAGATTAAAAATTCAAACGAGCGACCAGATGTTGAAGAAGAGAGATCGATATTTCGTCTCGCGATCAGATACTTTGCGAGATAAATAAATACGATAACTCGAGACGCTGGACACGACACTGGATAGACTTGAATTTCCGATATTCTCGATCAAAGAGCGCAAAACGAGCCGCAAGCGAAAGAATTGGCGCGTTACTTATCTTACATTTTGATTTTTGTACAAAGTGCATTCAAAGACTCGTCTCGCGCGTTTTATCTCGTGCGAACGAATTACCGTATTAGTTTTCGTTAAAATCCGTTTAAATCTCTCTCTCCGACGAAGCGACTTTTTAACGCACATATTGTTTTTTTAATTAATTGTACGTTTGAAATTTAAATAATCGATGAGTTTTTGATTTTATGCTTTTTTCAGTTGCACTTTGTAATATTTATATTAAAAAATTAAATATTAAAAGTAAACGACATTATTTCATTGAAAATTATAGTTTAAACATCAATATATTAGATAATAATTTAATCAAAAATTAATATAAATACTAAATAAGCAAAGTTTTTGTTACAGAAGATTATTAAATGTTCTCTTTCAATGTTAAAATTAGAACTCAAATAGAAGTTTCTTTGTTACTTATTAAAAAGTTGTTTCATGGACTACTTCTGGTCGCGTAACTAATCGAGCATCTAACTTATTATTAGGCTCAACGAGAAAGCAATATATCGAAGCAGGTACGATAATACGACTCGATTGGTCGAAGAAACGTGTAAATTGGTCAACGAATGATTGCATTTGGCTGCGAGTGCCGTGATCGCGGCACGTCGCATCGAAAAATTAGATTCTAAGTATATTACGGCCAGTTGCACCAATCTGGCGATTATTATCAACCGTGATGCGTTTGTTCATTTGAAGAAACTAAGTGGTATATTAATCTTTCAAGCTGTCGTCGACTTCAAGCGTCCATTCAAATTTCATATAGTGTTGACAAAACTGCTGTGTTAAAACTACTTGGAGAGAAAATATTATTCGCTGTAAGATATATCTATAATCCAGTCGGTGCAACTTGTCTTCATCAATCGTGAATAAACGACTCTCGTGTTCGACTAACTAATTTAATTGATTAAAGCGCGAAAAATCACGCTTGCTCATCGCTAAGAATAACTGATCTTCCTCGATACGATACCCAGGAAACACGAATCGAGGCTTGAAACTGACACACGAGAGTAAATGAAGAAAAAGTCAATAGTAACGATAGTAATAGTAGTAGTAAAGAGATAAGTTTTCGTGCAGTTAATTTGCGATCGACTCTCGTCTATACCTCTCGTGATTTTCACGATAACCTTTTTTTATTCTTTCTGTCTACGTCGGTTTCAAATATCGGCCGTAAATCCTTGACGTCACATCGGAGAATCGTGCATGCGTGATCGTCAATCGTTCTGCGACTCGACATCAAAATCCACCACGTGGACGATGATTCGTCGTCATTCGCGCGACTAAAAGTCAATGACAAATACTTTTCCAAGCACTTAAATATCTCTCTCTCTTTCTCGCACGCTTAAAATACTCTTCCTCTCTATTTACGGTAGGATATTAATTTAACGTTGACTTCCGCGCGAGCGGCACTCTCGCAATGATATGATTAAAATGGTCATACATCGTATCTATAATACGTATCTATATAATAGACTCTCTTTCTCTCGCCGCGTAAATCTTTCTAATATAAAAGTACACTCGCGCTCGACCGCTGAGCGCGACGTAGGAATTGGGAAGGAAATGTTGTGTTTTTGCGAAACATTGTGCAAACCCTGTGTGCTGATGCGCGTCATCTCGTGTCACGAGAACGTGTGGAAGCGAAACGACAAAGCGGCCATTTCGAGTCATTTGTTTGCAATTTTTAATAAGCGACAAAACATTTCTAAAGAAAAAACTTTGATCTGACAACAAAAAGGTAATTTTTTTATCGTATACACGATATTTCACGACCTACAGGTAGATAATAAATATTTTGGAGTTTTTCAATTTTTTAACGAACTGGAAAAAAATATTTAACACAATTTTAATTTCTGTTATCATGAAACAAACGATTCAAAACGTACGCTCAACGTCGGTCAACACGCGACACGCCATTCCGAGTATCTTTCGCACACGCAACAAGTTGAATCGCGCGGTATTTTTGGTTTTTTTTTTTTAATCTATTTCCCATAAATATGAAATCATATGCACGAACGTCGGGACGCTAGAGGCGACCTAGAGAGCAAAACGTTTTAAGAACGCGGTGTATACTTAGGAATTACGAGACAACGTAATTAAATATCGTCCGAACAAATGCATATTGATTTCTCTGACACGACTCCTGTCGACGATCGCGGGTAGCACAGAACTATATCTGCGACGAGATTTTCCGTGAACATAAACTTCCGCGAGAAATCGACAAATCTGATCATTATCACAGTTTACTATTTGATATACCTGCGCTTATAGATTCACGAATTGTCATAAATCGCGCCGCTTCAAAGGGTAACTACCGAAAGGGTAAACTGGAGTGAGAATACGAGAGTATCAACTTGGCACTAAAAAACTGTAATTTTTAAGATTATTTTAATTGTTAAATACCAAATTATGTATTTTCGTGAACATCAGAAATTAATCGCGACAATTTGGGTGACTTATAAACTACATTAAGAAAATGCTTCGGATAATCAACGCTTACTGCTGTCAATTCAATAAAAATTGATTAATTCAATTGGATACACTGCCAAAGTATATTCTCGTCCCAAACTTGGAAACGCGAACTCGAAAATGACCTTCAACGAAAGGTCAATGACCTTTAACAAAAATGCGATATTCGAAACAGTCGTTGGTTCGACGTGAAACACCTTGCTCTCCGGCCGTCTCGTTCATCAGGCTTTTGGTCAGTCCCACGAGATACGCAGCTCGTACACGCTCTACCGATTCTCTAGATCGCTAGAGACGCCGCTCTCGGCGCCCAGCTCCTGAACGCCATGTGGGAACGCTTACAGCCACTTGTTTCGCGCCACGCCGGAGAGCCTGCGTCCCCACATAAGGTTATATCATACTATTGTTCCTTGAATGTGCTGTAGATCTTGCGCGCCGCCCTGCAACTGCGGGGACTGGCAGGGCGAGCCCATCGGACACTGAATCGAGGGTGGGTCGTAAAGACCGCCCAGAGAACCACCGAGACCGGCGCCGAGACCGGCACTCAGATTGGGTCCCAAAGCGGCGTTGAGCTCCGGCATCGAAGGTAAGCCCACATCGAGGATACCGGTGTTACTGGCGCCACCTCCGCCCTGCGAGCCCTCTTCGGGAGGTGTCACTTCCAGGCCAATCGAACCGTTCAGAGCGATCTTGATTGGATTGTGATTTGAAGGATGCGAGAGCGCACCCAAACCGATGTCCTCGAGACTGCTCTTTCGCCTGGTCGTTGCCGACAAGCCCTGCCTCAGAGAATTGCTACGTCGCAGGAGAATGTCGTCGACCACTCTAAGCGAATTGGAGCGACCGCGCAGTGTGCCGGCCACAGTAGGACTGTCCGGTAGAGACAAGGAGTTCGATTTGGTTGTACCCAACGGTGGCGCTCTGGCCAAACCTATGGTGGAGCCACGACGGCTTCCCGGACCGCCGGTTTGCAGACCCGCGGCCGCGACCGCCGCGCTCATTTGGGACACCAGCTGCGCCGAGCAAAAGCTGATGTTGCTCTTGCGCCGGGAATTGTGTCGCTCGAAGGTCTTCTGCGCGGAGAACGGACTGGGTCGCACCAGGTAAACGATGTCGCCCTCCTCGAGCTTAAGATCGCAGCTCGGATTGATGATCACGTACGACAGGCTGTTGCGCTTCTCCGACACGTCGTCGTAATCGGCGACCGGCAGATTCAACGACTCCATCCGCGAGCGCACCAGGTTCGCGATCTCCGCTCGTTCGATCTGCTGCGCGTGGTTGTCGCGCGCCTCGTCGCCGAGACTCACCGAGTACTGGCGAAAGAAACAATAGAATGTTAGAGCGGATCTGCGCCGATCGAGAGAGGTAATATGTTGCAATGATCAGCATATCACCGAGGTGGCCTGAATTTAATTGCGTAAATGCGACAATGAAAATTGTGCGTCGAAATTGTGCTACTGTAAAATGTGCGATGAAAAGTAAAAATACTGCACTCCGAGAAGATAACTTTGCGACGTTGTTCAGGATCCAACGCTTCCTGGTTGTGATAGAGAATAGCTTGATTAATATAAATATAAAATTGCAAGCTTTTCGAAATAAAAGACATTGTCAATAATCTACACATGTAAGTTAATATAAAAAGAAATAACAAAGCCAATTGGACAAATATATATACATGTTTCTCTTCGCTTGGGGGGGTGCCACGTGCAACAAGTGGCTCGATAAATATATATATATATATATATATATATATGTATGTACATATGCAGCTTTCGGGATTATTACAAAGCCGTTAGCATCTTCCATCTTTACAACAGCCACCTTCACGATATATCTGAACACCACAATCGATCAATCTTAAAATCTAAGCAATAGATAAAAAAACGGCTTCGGCACATGTCTGCGAAGGCCAATATCGAAAATCCTTGGCACGAGCACAATCGAGTGGAAGGATGCAATGACACGGCGTTCTTGGTTATTTTTTTGTTTTTTTTTTTGTTTTGTTTTTTACATGCGCTGCTGGTGCTGGCGGTAGACGAGTCTGGACGTCCATCAGACAGAGCGTGAGTGACAGAAAGAAAGAGGGAGAAAGAGAGAGAAAGAGAGAAAAAGAGAGAGAGAAAGAAACAAAGAGCGACAGTGAGAGAGGCGAAGGAGCAGAAAAATGAGAGGCGGAAGATTTGCACAAAAAATTGCCGAAAGAGAGAAGAACAGCCACCACGTCGACGTTTTACTCACAGCAGATGCACCCTTGTCACGGGTGGCGCAATTCGCAAGGCACGATGCTGCCGCCGAATGACGCACCTTGTACGTCACACCGACGCCGGCGTCGCTTTCCGCGTCTGAGTCGCCCTGCTAAAACGACAAGCAATTTCTACCCTTACTTATGATTTGCGCATCGCCAATAACCGCGATTTCGTTTTTGTTTTTTGTTCCGTACGCGTCGCTCGACCGTAACGCGATTAGATCGACCGGACAGCCGTTGGACTCCTCCCATCGACGTGTATAAGTACGCACGTGAGCGCTTCTCGCTGGAGACACGAACGCTCCCCGGAAACTCACGTAAACAAGTGTATGAAACCCTTTATATTCTTTCGTCGGAGCAATTTTTTTTCAATTTTTGGTTTTTATTTTGCAACGATCTTTGTCGCAGACAAATTTTTTATCAGAGATTCACAACATTTTTAAGATAGTAGAATTTTTTGTTACACTTTGTACATTTTTAGCTTGTTCGTCAAACTATTATATAGTCACTGAAAGCAGCGTTGTGAGCACACTAAAGTCTAGCACAATGCAAAGTTCAGAGACGCAAAAGACCGATGAAGTTGGGAAATGAAGATAACGTGCTATGAAAGTCAGTTTGTCAGAGGATGCAACAACGGCCCCGATTTTATCTACGCGCGCGGGAATCACAGACCGAGAGAATTACAAAAAATGTGTATATGCCGCGAGAAAAGATGGAACAGGAAATGAGGTCGAAAAAGAAGAGAGCACACAATCATGCGCTACTCACAGCCTCCCATTCAAAGAAAATTTTCCTGTCTTCAAAGAGACAAATATGAAACAAACTACTTCGGCTATGGATTTCTCGTTTTGAAAACGTGGAAATCAAAAATTGCACTCACATGCGAGGAGTCGGACATGGTCGTGTCCTGCGTCCTGTATATGCCGATCGGGATCTCGCAAGTGGTCGAGCAGAGTTTCTGATACAATCTGCCGTACGTTCTTATCCACATGTCGTCCTTCGTTATGCGCATCTGCAATGGTCATCATCGAAAATTCTTTCGATAACATCTGCTACGTAAATAAAACTTACAACGAAAAACAGATGTTTGCAAATCTGTTATAAATTCTTGTTTTCTGTTTTTTTAATAAAAAGATTAGATGAGAAGATGTTTTTTAGTTTTATATTTAGCAAGTTTAGAAATTGATAAAATGTCGAAAATTAATAAACTTCGGAATGAAAATTCATTGTAGCAAAACTAGAAAAAATATTTCGGAACATTTTAAAATATAACAAAATGTATTTTTGCGATTGCTTACCGATGTGAGAAATCCAGATCCTGGCGCTTGATCGACTCCCAGTAAGAGCCTCACAAATGTTATCACGTAGTCTTTGACGAACGCTTGATAAAGTAGAGTGTCCAACATCGATGCGCTGAAGACACTGCCTGCCGCGAACGGCAATCGAAACATGTACGATATGTGGGAACCTCTTTCCTTTTCTCTCTGCAAGTATTAAATCGTCAGTTAGTAAATATGTATGTAAATTATATAGTAAACTTTTTGTGCTTTTGTATACATTTGTATACAATTGTGGTTTTAAATAAAACCTGTTGCACAAACATTTAGAATTTTTATTTATATACATCTGGCGTAAAAATTATATCAACCTTCAAATTCCTCGATAAATATTTATGCAGCAAACACATCATGCAGTTGCTAAAATCGTTATTAAAATATATCAATATTATAAAATGTTTATTTAATCAATACTGATCGTCCGCAATCGTTTTAAATTGTTTAATTTTTATTTTATTTTATATTTACAATATATTCGACTATTTTAAATATTTGTGCAACTTTTCAAACATTCATGTCACATCATGCAACATAAAAAAAAGAGTGATGTGAATCTTCTATTCTTTTGTCAGAAAAAAATATATAGAAAATGGAAGATTGGAGATTTTTTGAAGCTCTGTTATCGCGTAAGTGCACGGCATGACAGTAGAAAAAAAATGAAAGACTCTTCCGACTCTTTGTAAAAAAAAAGATAATTTTTAATTTTCATAAAACTGATGGTTAATGGATATTGAGATATCGATTTATAAGATGCGATAGTTAGAAAGAATGTCATGCTTTTGATAAGATAAAGAGATAAAATAATACATACGCTTGCAGATAAAAGTATATATATGTATATATGATAAAATGAAAGTATTTATAGTATTTTAAAAAAGAAATTTACTCCAAAATCTACTAAGCAGTGTAGTATCGAGGCATGAGTCACCGTGCTATAACGTTTGCTATATAATTTACATTTGATAATATAGTAAAGAAAACAGTCGTATATCGACTTTCTGAATGTCACGGTAAAACAAGCATGTACAAAATATGTTAGAAAGTCAACACAGTCTTGTTAAAAGTTAACACAGTCTATTCATTCGTGTCTCTAAGCAGCGACTACTCACTAGTTGTGACTCTATAAAGTTATCAGTATTTTCCACGTTCTCGTCGCTCTCGCGAGATATTCATGAATCACTCTCTCTCTATGTAAAATTCGCGTTTTTCTCAATATTTATTTAAATTTATATCTGATATTTTCTCATGTTGATACTTTTTTTTTTTGAATACTTTTTGAGATAATCGACGTTAAATCTCAATAACACACAAACTGATGAATAAATCACATCTTTCAACCAGCGAATATATTCGATAATGTATCAATATTCATAAAGCTTTCATTAAAAAGAAACACTAATTACGCACTTTCTCAAAGTTGTCGTTACTTCCGTTACTTTATCGCGGATCAAAGGACAAAAGCAAACTCGCGAAAGTGTTGGTAAAGTTGACAAACGACGCAACGAGGGATGCATACGGAAAGGAGCACTTAGGAAAGTGGAGGAAAGTAGGTTTCCGCGCGCGGAGCGACTTTGGCCTCGTAATTTCTTTCCGCTTATTTCTAACAGCGCGGCTTTATGAGGTCGGAGATCGCAAATCTCGGGAGGAGATGCTTTTTAAGTTTTATGCAGCCTCGCATGCGCTGCATTCGCCAAAATGAGATTTGTGTAAAAGCCGGTTGAAAAATATTTTGCATCGCATTAGCACGCGCGACGTAAGATGAAATAAACAATTTTACACAAAGAATGTCACACATGGACAATCAAAAAACAATTTTTTTTCTCTTTCTTTTTCTCTTTCACGAACACTCTTTGCTATAATATTTTATAAATCGCTCATTTTTGATTGTGTGTAAACAATTACCGCGACAATTTTGAACTAGGTCAAGCAGATCGCGCGTATGTAAAATCGGGACATAATATATTAAAATACGAGACCGACGACAACGTTGGAGATACGTGGCAGTCAGTCGATCAATCAATTCAACAATCAATCAATCATCATTTAAAGACCGGGGAGTGAGTGATGTCGTGTTACCGGGGAGCCCATCGAAGGCTCATCTGAGTAGTCGTCATCGGTAGTAGCACTGAAGAGTACCTTTTCCATTTTGCTGAGATGCAAGGCGTACTTGTCGTGCGCCCGGAACTGCATGAAACGCATATTGCTCGATTGGGACAGCTCCGTGATACTCTTTATGCTCGGAAAGAATCTACAGAACAGATGAAAAATCATTTTTCGTTGAAGAAAAGAAACGTTTATGTAATTTTATGAGAATTGTAGTTTTTTATATATTTCTATTTCATTTCAACTTTGACTTACTTTTTGTTTCCATTATAATTTTTATATAAAGGAAAGGATTTAAATTTTATTGAAGTTTTGTTGGAGTTTGAAGTTGCAAGTATATAAATTTAATTTAAAAAGTATTTACACACAGTTGTGTAAATATTTTTACAAAAGACATTTCGAGATTCAAACATTTTAGAATATATAAATAAATAAGTATTAAAAAAGTGCACGGCTTTCTGAGAATATTCTTGCGTTTTGTGCTGCAAACTACATTGAAGTCTCTCTCGCTAAAAAATAATTTCTGCTACATATACAAACGCTCACTTGAACATGGTCTGAACCGCAACGATTGTGTTGCAATCAGCCAGAGTATCTTCCTCGGCGGAATTGTTGAGCTCTTTGTTTACGACCACAACGTTCTCCGCTAAGGTGATACCGGCCCGGAGAAGGTCATCCAGGCAGTCGATGGAGCCGAGCATCCAGTAAACCAACGGAAAGTAGGACACCGCGTCGAGAAACGCGATTTCCGGCTTTCTTTCCAGCAGAAGGATGATCGGATTTAACGAAGTTTTCGACCTGATAAATGTTTCTGCTCGTTAATCACTCGCAAAAACCACCTGTCTGTGCCAGTAAATTTAATTCCGAACTGGCGACGCAAAATATATTTTTTGCAACTCGATTAGAAAAAATGCTCAAATAGAAAAAAATTGCATGATTTCTTAATTGGAAACATTGCGTAGCCAAATTACGAATTAAAAGCGCAGCTTTTAACAACGCGACGTGTACCTAAAATGCGCCCTTAACGGTATTATGAAGTTGTAAATCCCATTGCTGGCGTAATCCGCCGCCAATATGATAGTTTTGTTCTGCCAGTTGTACTCTTTGGCGTTCCTGTAGCTGCAATGCTGGCAAACCTGATAGATCGACGAAAAAAAAAAGAAGAAATTTCTCCTTTACTTTTTATTCACAATTTTTATTTGCAATTCTCAGAGATTTTTATTTGCCGTGAAATCAGACGTACCTGAGCCAGTTGAAGGCAACAGAGCGGCTTCTTCTCCTTAAGGAGGTAACACAAAGTCGGCGAAACACCAATAAAAGGCGAAACCGGCGGGAATCCCTTGACAATCCTGTAACATTGTTGAAACTCGATTATCTCGCTTGGAGTGATACGCCTCTGTATGTATGTGTGTATTTGGTTGAATTTAAGCGCCGTGGTTTTTATTAAATATCTAGCCAGATGATAACGCAGCTACTTAAAAAGACGCGACGTCAGCCGATGGAACCGCCGACACACAGAGTTTTTGAAAGTAAATCAAAAATGGAATCGATCTTATCGCACTTTGTACGGTAGTCGGTGACGCTGTCGGTGCGCGGCCACGATTTTTACGCGAGGACACATATCCTGAGGATACGCCGGCTTCTTCACAGACAGTCCTCGCTCTCTCAAATGTCGTTTCCTGATTCTCAAGATTTCCTGAAAGCCAGGAATGGGTCTCATGGAGCAGATGAAAGGAGGCAAGTCGTTTTACACCACTCTTGGCTCCCGTGAGTATCATCGCGCGTCACGCGATCTAAACGACCAACGGGGGATAGTGGCCCCGATATTGGATAAGCGTCCGGAAGCATTTATCACGCTCATAGCTGTATTTGTTTGTAATTTATAATATCTACGATTATAATCGCTCTAAAATTGCTCGATGTTGTTTTTATGACTATGTTGATAATTATTTGAGATACGAATTTTATGACAGAGAGTTTATTTTTATTTTTAGATGTTTATCGTGTGTTTTCTCTCTCTCTCTCTCTCTCTCTCTCTCTCTCTTTTTCTCCGTGAACAATTTTTATGCTGCGTCAAAAATGTATTATTTCGTAATTATTTCTTATTTTGTAGTTTTAACGCATGTTTGTGGCACATATTCAAGTTTCAGATGAGAAACTAAATTTTTGGAAAGTTTTAAAAATAGTTTGCGTTAAAAAACCAAATCGCGTGTTTTACACCGCTACTTTCGACGTGTACTTACGACGCTTCGCAAACGGATCTCTAAATTCAGCTAAAATGTATTATAAATAAATTGTATATTGGAATAAAACAAGATAAAAATTAAAAAAAAAACAGGACAAACTGTGTTCTAATAAATAAGCAAATAAATCGAGATGTGTAGAAGCGTAAAACGAGAGACTCACCCTTTGAAGCTGCTGGTCGTGCGGCAAGACGGCAGTGCACAAGGACGATGCAAGAAGGAAGACATCGAAAACATCCATGAGAACATATTAGGGTGTCAGGCAGGACAGCATCGAGCAGCGATTTTCAACGGCACCGTCCGGTGCCGTTTTAGTGAAACAGGCATCGAGAGACATTGAGACAGGACACATCGAGCATTGACTTGCACGATTATATAATAATTAAGTAATTAAAAATAAATCAAAACATCGATGTGCGTCATCAAGACATTCGTGTCGCGCATCGAACGTTTGAAAAAACGATTTGACAATTTTCGCGTATTCGGTGTCGCGCACGAGAACTAGGTGGAAAAACACAATAAAAAAAAAAAATTAAACAAACTCGGAATCTTCGATGTATTCTTAGGATTCTATTTTGATGTATATATGTTCGTCTTGCAAAATTATGTTCTAAAAATTCCATTTGCTATGTATAGAGATATCAGAGACAGTACCTTTGCGTGTTGCTAGCACAATACAGATTGTTGCACAGCACTAACGCTACATCTAATATAGAGGAAAGAAAAATATGTCGAGATGTTCTATGAGAGTTGAAGAAAATTGACAGATTGATAATATCAATAACAAAAAATTCTCTTGGAATTAAGATTATTAGACCGCAGCAGAAGTTGTTGCGCCACGTTAATGACGCATAAAAAAATTGACGCACGGATCGACATTAGTTGTTCTGACTATTGAGGCAATGACGGCGTCAGGGGACAATCCAAGAGATAAGAGTGCGTCAGAGGGAATCGAGGCGTGCACGGGGTGCATGTTCGCGCGCAACACAAGGGACCATAAATGCCTCCCTCTTCCGATGATAAAGGATGAACGATACGATCGCGATGGCTCCTGTCGCGCTCGCGTTTTAACGCTAACGACGTTATTAAATTAAAAGTGCGCCGAGCCATGCGACTGTACTGTTCTCCTCGGTGAAATATGGATAATCTCCCGACTCTCTGGAGACCTTTTTGCAGAATTTCGCGTTAATGTGAGACGGGAAATTTGGACAGAAAATAGCAAAACTAGACAAAATAAAAATGACAGTTATTTTAATGAGACTTACTATGTACATGTACTCTGTTGTCGAAATTTGAGAAAATATAGAAAATACTTTGACAAAGTTCGGTATATTTTATATGGCAATCCCCGCAAGATCGAGCTTGAGGCTGATAAATGGAATTTCGCGAGTTAATAATTGATGCATTCTCGCTTGGAAGTGCTATACGACTGATAAAATTAGTTGTAGAGCTTACCAGAAAGAACTAAAATAATTGAATAAAAACTTGCATGAAAAATTAATCATTTTTTTCAAAGGTCGCTTTAAATTTTTCCTTCTGATCTGCTAAAGCCGATCTATTTGATCTCTATATCGCGCTTTTATATATATATATATATATACATATGTATATGTATATATAAAAATTCTCTCTTGATTTACTTCTTTCTGAATTTCATATAAAAGTTAAAAAGTAACTGTATACGTAATCTAACGTGCGTGTAAATAAAAAAGAAAACAATCGCGAATACATCTCTCTGAACTTTATAAAATATTTTTATTTTAACCTTTTATATAATAAACTGAACTACTATTTTTTTTAAGCTTTTGAATTAAACTTTAAAATATTTCTCTTGTCAGTGAAAGAGATTATCTCTATCTCTTTTCAAAAGTTTTTCAATTATTGTGCAAATACGAAAAAACCGATAAAAATACATACAATATGCAGAGGAATAAAATATAATATAATGCACATTTATAACAAAGTCGATGCACAAGACCGCGTCATGCAGGTGCACGAGACAAAGTGCGTGATCATCCTTATGTAAAAAGGATCACATGATCGTGCTAGAAATTGATGTGTGTTCACAATAAATATTGAAAAAGATTGGAAGAAAGATAAAAACGAACACAAGAGAAAAATCCCGCTAAAATAATTTCCTCTACTCATTTGACTTCTCTAAATCTTAACGAACTGTTCTCCGTGCTGCATTAATTGTCAAGGATCACGTTGTGAAGATCCTTCTACGATCCTTGAACGTAATGCATAATATCACGATGGCTTGACGAGAAAAAAAAAAGAAAGAAAAAACATACTTACGCGATCTTCTCGCTTGGCGATCTCCAGGGAACATCGTCGTCCATTTCGTCCTCCGACTCGTCACCTTCGTGATCTAAGGATTCCTGGCCAGGAAGGTGCAGAGTCGAGCTCGTCAGCATGTCGGGCACTGGTAAAATGCTCGGTCTTCTACTTCCTGAAAAAAAATTGCAAAGTAAAAGAATCGACATAAAACCGTGTGTCTTTAACTGTCAATTATTTTGCGAATATAATTTTAAATTTACGGAAAAACGAAACTTGTATAAAACAAGAACTTGTATAAAAATTTTAATATCATCTGCAAACTCTTATATCTTTTTATATGTAAGAAATATATAATTTAAATCTCAAAATAAAATCTGTCATAAAAAAATCTTCCATTTGAATCATTCACTGTAAGCCATAAAAAAAAAACTATGATTGATTTATACCAGTAACTAGACGTTCTAAATTTGTCAGTTTTATGCAGACATTATCGCATAATAAAAATGAAACACGGTCGTCTATTTGTGGAAACGACTTTTAAGAAAGTCGTACTCGAAACTAGTTATCAGAAATAACTTTAAATTACTTTACGTTGCACACATCGAAAACACTTTATCAAGTAAATAAAAAGACAGAAATATCCGATGAAATTATCCTACAGAGATAAATAATTCAAATGTTTTTAAATATCACTTGGCCTTCAACTTCAAGTTTATAGTTTGCTCGCTTGAGTTTTCATCGTTTAATAAATGCTTTCTTTACGTTTATATTTCAGCAAACACAAAAGATACGTAAAATTAATACTTATTAATTAATAATTCCGATACTAAGTGAATTAAATGAGATAAAACATTACGACCAACCTCTCCTTTGAGTAAGGATTTCCGGGCTAAGCAGATTGGGATTCGGATCAAGAGATCGCGGCACGTCGAGAAGATGATTTCCCGTAATCGGTGTTTGTGGCGTTGATTCACCTTCTTTCAAGCACTGTCTCGAGTCTCCGAATCCCCCGGGATCGAGATAAGTAGCTGAAACATATATAAAGCCCGACCGCGCGATGAGTGACTCTCTCTCTAATATCGAGATTATATCCTCACAATATTCAATGGCTCTACAAAATCGCGGCTCGTCGTAAAAGAGAATGGTCTCCGATAAACGTGAATGAAGAAGATGGCGACACGTGAGAGAAGATTCACCACATATTATTCGCATCAAAGAACGACGAGGAAAAAGCAAGGAGGTTATTTGATCTAACGCTTTTATACTCTATTTTACATGTTTTATATACGTACATTATTTAAAAAAATATATACAATATTAAAATTAAAAAAAAAAAACTTCGATAAATCAACTAAATTCACACGAAACTGCAAATTTATTTTTACTACTTATATTATTTCTATTTCTATTCAAACAAGTTTTATTCTCGGAAAATACGTCAATTAAACCAATGACCTTTCAGCTTATCGCTCAAATTCGTATCAATTCTCTGAAGCAATCGAGATTTATTACGGTGGTTTAAGTTCAAATGTCAGACGATGTAGATCTCGCATCGCGAAGCGAGGAATATATATTTTGCGTAACGACATTCGCGCGCAGTTTCCTCATTCAGAAACCGCGCTTATCGAGAGTTGTTGATGGCGGCTGAACTGAATGGCGGATGAACACAGTAGCGCACATAACACACACACATACACAGATTACACGTAAAGCGACGTGCAACTATAAACTGCGACAAGAAAGACGCGGATACATGAAAAGGAAGGAACGGTTTATAACACATTTCGTATGCGGTTTATCTTCCGTTAACATTGTGCATGAAAATTTAATCGCGCATCTAATTCAGTGCGCGCATTATTATCTTCACTCTTCCGCATAATTTCACTTCATAATATGAAACAGGAGATAAATTTACGATAAAAACAATGGAGAAAGAATCTTGTCGCAAAATTAAATCACAAAATTTGCTCAAATACACTAACGACAATTTTGTTGTTATTAATTTTTAATTTCTCAAGTAGTGAGTGGATATTTGGTAAACAAAAATACTGAAATCGTCAAGAAAATAAATTTGGAAACAAAAGAAAAAAATAATTGAGTAACTAGAAATCATTATCGGTTCCTTCTTTTTCTTCAAAAACCCACTGGTTTTGCTATGTTGTATTAACTTTATCACACAACTTTGATTTCTAATTTATTCATAGCTAGAAAAGCATTTGTGTCTTGTGTATTATGTACGTGTTCGTGTGTGTGTATGTGTGTATGCGTTTGATGAAATTCGATCAAGCGTTACGGATGATTTTCTAAAGCCTAAGCGACACTTAACTACACTGACTATTAGTGCGACAAATACGTGTGCAACGAAAAATAGATATGACCAGAAAATTAAAAATATTTTCAAATTGATACCGGTGTGAGTTGGTGCTTCTTTTCAATCGTTAATCTTTGCGTGTCCAATAGTTTTACTCTATATTTCTTCACAAAGCCTCAATTTTCAAAAAATCCTCAAGAAATCAATTTCGAAGTGAACGTACTGATATCCAAAGAGCTAAAATTATTCAATCCAAAAAATCTTTGCGACAAAAACGTGACGTTCAATTATTATTAAAGAAAACACCAATCTCTCTCAAGAGTCTCGACAGATCGCGCGAAGTTACGTGCCGAAAAAAAGTTTTTACGTTTTCTGTTTCTGCACGATCCGGCGAAGACCGATAATATCGTGTCGAGAAATCGAAATATTAGAACGATAGAGAAGTTAAGATCACAAAATAGACGAAGAGAAAAAGAAGAAAAAGATAAAGAAGAAGCAGCAGCGAGGCGCATGCGACACTCACGGTGGACATCGGATGCGAGTAAGTTGTGGTGTTGGTTTGGTGTGGGCGTGCTAGGGGGGACCTGCAAAATAACCTGCGGCGGCATTAACGGGGCCCTGTGACCTTGGGGACCGTTCTGGGAGCGGTCTTGCGCACGGGGCCCCGTGCAGGTCTCCTGTCTGCGCAGTGTTTCGCTCAGCGCAACGTTACAACTGTTGGAAAATCGCTGGTGCGCGTCGGCACCGTTGCTGATTGCTGTACCGTTCCCGTCGCCACCGCCGCCGCCGCCGCAGCTGGTGGATATCGTCGTGGTGGTTGTGGTGGTCGTCGTTGCGGAAGTCGCCCCCGTAGAGTTAATCGTCGTTGTCGTCGTTGTGTTGTTGGTCGTCGCGTTGCTCGTCGAGCCGTTGCTCGCGGTCGTCGCGTCCGTCTTGGTTTCGACGATCACCTGCGTACCTTCGCCAATCCCGCTTTGATTGTTCGCGACCACGAAGGCGGAATTTTCCTCCTTCGTGATGCTCATGTAGTAGCACGTGTCGGTTTTCTTCATTATATGCCGGGGTCCTGCCGTGTAAACAAAAGGTCCGTGATTCGGTAACGTTTTGACATTTCGCGTAAAGTGAAGCAAAAATACCGAGTCGTAAATTGTGTGGTTTAGCTTTTATAGTTTCTTTTTATTTCTCAAGTAAACGCAAAAAGTGAACTCTTTAAAACTTTCAAAATTCCTGTTTTTATTTATTAAACCAACGAACAGCTGGAAGTGACTAAAAAGCTCTTGAAAACACCCAGCAGTGTTTTGCGAGATTACCGGGATTCAGGAGGATGGTGTCCTCGTAAAACTCCGGAAGTTCCGCTGGTCTGACTGCGACGAGAGCAACTCCGTATTTCCGATGACTGTGGAACGACGCGTAAGTGAAGGATTTTCCCTCGTACTCTCCGAAAAAGCGAGAGTCGCCGAGAATTATGTGATAAATCTCGTTGCCGGAACATTTGCCGTACAGTCTGTGCCACTCTTCCTGCGACTGTTGACCCTCTCTGCGAAACAGAAAGGTTCTAATTCAGAATCTTCCTGTATTGCTTGACGTACTCGACGCAACAATTATGACGTTAAGGCAAGGTTTTTATTTCGTGAGAAAAATTTAATTCTCGTTACGATATACATTTTATACTTACGTAATATGTGCATTTTGTTGAATATATTATATAAAATATATTTTTAAAATATTTTAATATATTAAATATACGTGTAAAATACGCTTAAATAAATAATGATTGAAATAAAGAGAGAAAAAACAGGCCACGTAGAAAATCCGCACGTGTTCGTCGTTAAATCCATTAAGTAATTACGTTCGGTGATAGTTGCAGAACTTACTGTCCTCGAGACGTGTGCAACAACAGGGTGACCAACGTCGACGCGCCGGGACACGTGCAGTTGTTCGCTAAAAGGGCGTACTTAAATTCATCCTCGCACACCACGTGCTCCGCAAATTTCACGTGAAGCTTGTTTTCCGGACGGAAGATTTGAACGTATTGAGGAACGTTAGGCGCGAAGTCTTTGACCGCCCACGATCTACAAAATATAGATCCTCATCAAATTCTCTTTATAAAAACACACACCCACGTGCATTCGAATTTAATTTGGCAAGAGATTGTAAAGTGGAATAAAGTTTAATCTATTAAACAAAAACGAATAAGTTTCTCAAAGCTCGATGTAAAGTCGTAATCGCTAAGCCAAATATAAGTAAAAATTCGCAAAAAGAAAAAATACGCGGTTATATTTTATATTGACATATTTAAATTTTCCATATGCCTATTTTATTCTCTATTAAAAAAAAAAAAATTGCATCTAGAATATATACTTAAAGTTTCTCGTACTTCTTTTCGTCTGTAAATTCTTTGTGAGTTCCGATCTCGAAATTTAATTGAACTGTCGAAACGGAAACTGAATAAGCGAGTTTACTACTTCGAATATCGAAATTACGCCGAAGAGAAGCGCTCATTTACAAGAGATAGGTGCTGTACTTTACAGTTGCACACAACGAGAATTAGAGAAAGTTATGCGATTACGATCAAATCAGAACGTTTACTCTAAACTTCACGGAAAAACTGAAAGATGTTCGATGTTTTTTTAAACAGACCGTCGAGAAAAATATCAAGATTACAACGTTCTTGCAATAAAGAGAGTTCATTACGGCGCAAGAAAGATGAGAAGAAAATCGACCTTTACGCCGGATTATTAAGCTTCGTTAACGATTCTAATTGATCGTTCGTACCTGAGTATCGTGTGTTCGTCAGCAGCGGTTTTGTCGGCATAATTTCTCGCCGCCAATACAAAACAGGCTTCCGCTTCGTTCATTCTGGCTCTCGCGAGATCGCCATCCTTCAGACACGAACCTTGTATGTAGATGACTCTCTGCGCCCAGATCGGCACTTGCAGAATCATCCGCATCGTCGTGTCAAGCTCCATCGGCGACAACAACACCACGTAATAGTCCTGCGTGTATTCAGTTCGTTCTCGCGATTAACAAATTATTATAATTAATAAATAAATAAGAGAAAGAGAAAGAAAAAATAGTGTGTGTACAATTTTAATGTAACATTCACGTGTTAAAAATGTTTTCTCTATAAAAACCAAAACCTTAAATCTTTACAAAGAAATAAATTTTTTTTCGAATTATTTTGTAAAAAACAAACTTTTAATACAAAAAGTGCATTTCTAAGTTCCGGGTTGATCGAGAAAGAGAAAAGGAAACTGAAAAAAACAAGGGTTTGAGATTACAAACGTTCTCTTTAAGTGACAAACCGATAATTTTTACGAAATCAGAAGCTGCGTCTAGAGTAACAAAGCGAGTAAACTATTCGGGAAAGTGTAAACGTTCGTTGCCTAACCTGTAGCAAGGGATGGGCGTAAAATTCGTTTAGAAAATCCATGATGGTATCGGCTTGCAGCGTCGTGCTGCAAACCACCACGTGTTTTTCGCTCTGCGCTCGATGCGATGAATACGAGCCGCCCAGCTTCTGCCGCTCCATCCACGTGAAAGCTAACTGTTCAAACTGCAACCAATACGAGATAACCGATTGTGCAATCGGCTAATGTGTCTGCAAGCCGTAATGAGGTAGCGTTTCTATCCGTATGCTTGCGAGATTAAAGGACTTGCGAAAGCGCTCACTCGCCCTCAATGAGAAAGTAAAACGTTTCATCGAATATTATTAAATAAAATCTCACACAATTAAAATGTATTCATTAATTTTACGTTCGTTATACTTTTAATTGGAAAAAACCGCTTCGGAAATTATGTTTCTTATTTTCTCTTTTTTTTTTTTTTTTTTTCTTATCGCGCACAGTGTCTAAGATTTGTTGTATTTTTGGAATTATTACGAGTAAAATATAGGTTTTATTTTGAATATTTAAAATGTGAGAGGAAAAGATTATACGTGTTAATTTTTTGCAATTTCTTCTGCAAACGTTACTCTATGCCGTGTACAAATTTAATATATATATTGAGTCGTTTATGTCGTTTCAATGACTACTCAACTCTCCGTCACTCTAATCGCTCGAACTTGAATCTAAACGAGTAAAAAAAACACACACGAAGAAACGGGCACAAAGAGAATTGACACATCGTGTTGATCACACACGAGTAGGGAATGCACGTGCATCTCGTGTGCGATTGGCAGGCAATTTGACAGACAAATTACGGCAATCGACGAGGCTTTTCTACGTTGGATGAAAATGCAATCAGTCAACGCTGACGAGCGACAAGTAGACACTAGGCGTTCATGTCGCTTTGTACAATTAATACTATTTTTCGTTCAATTAAATTCGCGTTTAAACGCCAAAATCGCAATTGCAGTAATTAATCAGCTTGTCGTTCATAAGTTTATCGTTTTTCCTCCGCACGTAGTCGCTCGATCTTTTGATATTACGTAAAAAAAAAAAAAAAAAAAAACCTAGCTCTCACAATAGGCAAGTTTGTGTTGTGTATAAAGTTGCGCGGGAAAAGTACCTACGGAGAAAAGCACATTTCCCATATAATGCGCGATGTACGACGTGATATGAAGTAAAGTAATTTTCGAATAACATCGTTAACGAGACTTTGACGTACAGTAATGTGAAAGGCTCATGGAAGAAAGTTTTCCTTCGTGCTAGACCGCGATCAATTGCGAAAGAAAAGTTGCCATAGTAACGCGCATCCTGCAGGACACACAAATCTTTGTTAGCGACTGCAGTTATCACCTCGTTCGCTCTTGTTTTTTCTTGCGGAGATTGCCGGCATACGTGCGCAAATATGTATCCAACCTGCGCTCAGCTTCTTTATAGTCTCCGCGGGACGCAGCGAGAGAATATTGCAAAGCCAGAAATATACCGCGAGAAATCGCTTTTTATTAAACGTTGAATTCAATGTGAATTCGGACTTAGCGTTTGAGTCGAGTCGAATTTTTTTAACCGACGATATGAGAACTTCGCGTTGAATTTGTACCTAACGACGGTTATCGTTTTTTTTTTTTTTTTTTTTATCGTTTACTTAAAATTGTCGAAACGTGTGAATGTTCGAGAAAAGATGCGAGTTTTTATCGCGCGCGACATGTGATACCGGAATTTTAATTTACGTTAAAAAAGAAAATTGATGAGAGATTCTCCGGCGTATCAGCTACGTGAGAAATAAACATTTTATGTGCTCGGCGGCTGGACTAGAAAGAATAATAAATATCAGTAAAAAAAAAACGAGTCAACCCGCGCAATATGGTCAGGCAAGTCTTGTTTCGGTACATTTACGAGCTTCCCTCGGGGTGACTCGAAAATAACGTCTATAAAAGAAGTCTATGAGGCGAGCATCACTGTAACGACCGCGACTGACTCGCGCATTAAACGAAATGAATACGAGTTTAGTGCGGCGCGCTGTACGCCTTCACGAATGTTTTAGGATACTTTGATTTTCTATGAAATATTATTCACGCAGTCACCAAAAAAATTATTCTTGCAGAAAGTTGTTCCAAATCGACTAACCGTAGCTTTTGTTACAGATAAATAAAAGTTTCGAGTTGAAAAGATTCGCGATTTTCTTCTTCGAGACTCAGTTTCAATGTCTAGCAGATCTCTAACAGACTCAATTGTGACATGTTTTATTGATTATTTACATAGGATCGATAATTTATACAGTAAAAAAAAAGTCAAAATTTCTCTTTGATAAACGAAGTAAAAAATTGATCGATCATATCAATATCGTAATCGAAGTTCTTTGTGAAGACACATGCGTACGCACCTGCGTTGGTAGCACTATGAGCGCCACGCAGATCATGATGACCATGTAGAGCTGCGAAGGCCAGATGTCCGGTACGAAATCGCCGTAGCCCACCGTGGAAAACGTCACCACGACGAAATACGTGCTTTGAAACAAATTCAAATGTCTGTGCCCCGCTCTCTGAAAGTGCTGGATCCCGCATACGCTGCAAACGGAAAATTTCATTTCGGGGTCACCTCACCGAGGATTGATCGAGGATGGTCGCGCGCACGGAAACGGGACGAGAAGGAAATCGTTTTGCATACGTCCGTGGCGTAAATCTATGTCGTCTATAATTGTTTTACCGGGGCGAACTGCGGCCAACGTAAATTTACGCTTTCCATAGTTCGCGCCGTACTGCAGGCGATGTCGCCTGCACTAAATTACCGGCTATCGAGAATCGGGAGTTTGTCGTCATTTTCCCGAGCGAACACGACACACACAAAATCTCGATTCGGGACATTATAACGATAATTCGGGATAATTCCTTTGCCTATAACGATAGTAAAAGATTTTGTTTTTCGAATAATAGAATAGAAGTAGTTTCGTGTAAATTGACTTCCGTGAATTGTTGACTTCCGTGTAAATTATACAACAATAATACATATGCAAACATAACCATCTATTAGATGTCTAATTAACATTCATAACTTTAATAAAGATAAGATCTATAACGTCTAATGAAGATTATGTATAGCATATGTTGTTCCGCACGTACATATCTTTCTTTATTTTTTCTAATGTTCTTGTCTTTTAATACACGCTTTTTTACACTAAAAAATCGCTCTTTTGTTTTTATCGTGTCACAAAATACTAGTTTTTTTATCTTCATACTAGTTTTATAATCTAGTTAAAAAAAGATATAACAGTGACATGGTTTTCGCACAGTATAAATTGCAGATGCGAAAGTTTTACAATTTTTTTTTATTACTCAATGACAAAGCTCATTCGTGCATGTAAGATAGTCCGTTGAACAAATTACAATTACAAACAAAAACGCTGTTTGCAAACGCTCGTCAAACTGTGTGCGCAAATCATGTGTTATTTTAAATTCGATTAATCTTTTAACGCGAAGAGCATGAATCCAGAAACAACGAGTCGCAGCTTTCTCGCATCGTCAATTTTCATTGCTACCGTCATATCCTATGCAATTATTTTGCGAGCAAAAATTGTGTTACTGAACTTTTACTCGTTAAAAATTCCGTTGTTTGATAAAACCGTCCAATTGACGAACTCTTTTCTATCAGATCGATTAACGCGTGTGTGTTAGCAGTTTGATAAAAAAAAAATAAAAATAAAAAGAACCAGTCGCAATTAGCGTAACGAACTATCATGGCGGCTTAATCAATCAGACATTGACTTTTGAGCTGAGCGGACGAATTTACGTTACTCGACGATGGAAGCGCTTCCGCAATTTTTCATTCGACCGTAATGAAACGAATGCACAATTAGCCCGAACCACTCGAGACAAGATAAAACCGGTAGTCTCCGCCCTTCTCTTCTCTCACTTGTTCTTTTCCTTCGGTCGTAACGGAATTGATGTAACAGTTCGAGAAAAGAGAAGAGATTGAACTCGGAAAACCGTCGCCGCTGCCACAGCCGCCGCATATACCGGTCGTCGTTTATAAACGGCCGGCATCTATTATGCATGCGGCCCCGTTCCTATATCTATATCGACGCGTATATTTGTGCACCCTGTTCATTTTTCCTCCCTTTCTTCCGTCCGTCTGCGCCGCCGCATCATCGCGCTTCCGTTCGACGTCTCGTGACAGTCGAGCGTGCCCCATCACATTAATTAACAATAGACGGATCGATTCCGCTTAATACGTTGCGCCGCTACGGTTATACAATGCAATTTGTCGACGAACTAATTAACCCCACAACCCCTCAGCTAATGAAACTCATTTCGAACTGCATTTTGTTAAAAATAAAATTTTAAGGTAACAAAAAAATAAGAATCAAATTTTAAGGTAACAAAAAAATGTCTGCGCAAAAAAAAATGTCCGTGAAATAAGTAATATATCTCTCGCGAGATTTTCTCTTCTAATACAATTCAAATAAAAGTATAATTGAAATATTGCGGTAGATGAGGGCATTCAAGATTTTGTTTTACGCGCGGAAAACGCGTCGAAGGCGCGAATATTATGTTAAAAATAAAAAAGTTTCTCTTTCTCACTTGTCTGTCTTCCGGCGTTTTTCCGCGCGCACGAACTGCGAGTGATAAAAAATCCACGCATTTTCGTTAAAAATTTCATTGTTCTCTCGATTCAAGTGCTGTCGTTTGTTAGTGACGCTAACGAATCTCTTCCGTATTCAATTCAATTGAACATTATTTTCTCGGAAACAAACGACGTAGTCGAGAGATAGACCGTTTGCTCTAGCCAGTAAAAACTCGCAAAAATTGTGCGTATCTCACGAAGGTGTTTCACAAAGAGAAAAGAACTCAATTTTAGTACAAAGATTATTTTTACAATAAAGTTTCGACAGTCTAAGGTTTAATTAAACGCGTGTGAGATTTTTATTATAAAAATTGATATCTGAATAAAAATAAAATATTTGGAATTGCTATTTAATGTTAACCACTTTTATAAATAATTTATCCTAATATAATATGTAAAAGAGCACTTGATGTAAAAAAAGTTAAAATTCGAAGTTAAAAATTAGTAAAATCGAAATTAGATGCTAAGAATATATATAACAAAAGCGACAGTGCCCAGCCGATATCGTGTCGTGTTAAGTAACAGGTGTTACAATAACACAAACGTCAAAGCGATAAAAAAGTACAATTTGCATTTCATTAAAAGTAATAAAACGTAAGTATACAAAGATGACGTAAAGCGTAAAGGTTACTGGCACGAGAGATTTTCGTTCCTGTACACATTGTCAAAATCTCAAACATGTTTTTTCAAGCAAAAACCTTTTGCAAACACTTAAGCAAATCTTCGCTAATTTAGACACGGAACCAAAATAAAACTGGCCTAATTGTTTAGTATTTATTTAAAAAAACAGAATATAATTCAGCAAGTTTTTGAAAAAAAAAAGGTACGAAGAAAATTCTTCGATTGTCTGAATCTTGACATTGTTTCGTACGTGACTTTAAATGTTTGAACTGAATCTTCGCCAGCAATTTGGCACCAATGTTAAAGTCAATCTTAGACTTAAGTAATAAAAAGTATTAAATTTATAAAAACGCGGAAATTGTACAAAAAGTTAGCAAGATCGGTGCAACGCGAGCTTAGTTAGCGGTTTAAATCTGCAGATGCGATAGCGCCATAGCGTGCAACTGTAGCGCTTATCGCTGTGCTTACTACATTCACGGCACGGAAATCAAGCGACCCGCACGGCCCAATGCAGGCAATAATTAAACATTCTGAAGCGAAGAGAATCGCGTGAATCCCGCGACAGCGCAGCCACGTACACGCGTTACTTAGATATAGATATCTGATGTATGTGTGTCATGAGAAACCTGACTATAGAAAATCCAACGCACGTGTTTTCCTTTTAATTGAATTATAAAATTAATTTAATGTGTAGAGTTATAAGAAAGTAGTAATATTAAATCATATTTTCTTTCTCATATTTTAAATAAATTTTATTGCATAGTTTATTTCTACAGAATGTCAATCTCTTCTCGCGCCAAACAATTTTTTCATTTCACTTTTGTTATTTCCGGTCAAGCTGGAACATCTCTTAATGTCTTTCACAGAATCTCTTATTTCGTTTGTTTTTTTGTTTTTGTTCAGCTTTTTTTGTATCCTAGCAATGCACCTTTTTTCGGTGCATTTTTTCCGCGTCTCAAAGATATCGTCGCGACACTTTTACACCGCGCGCGTGTCCTTGTCGGCGCAGATAACACCGCCGTGCAAGGGCGAGCTAGCCAAGTGCGCCGCTCTAGAATCACACCGTAAATAATAAAGCTGCCGCGATCGATGGCGATACCAATCCATCTGCACAAGCCGGCGTGCGATTATTTATTAACACATGTCCCACATTGCGATCTGGGTCGATCAGACGTATTTCGTCATTTTCTCGCTCGTCCCTAACATTGTGGAAGGACAGCTGCAGCTTGGTTACAGGGATTTCCACTTTGTTTTTTTTTTTTTTTTTTTTTTTTTTTATGCGTCGACCTTTCGGCGTATTAAAACAGGCTGCGAGATATGAGAATGTGTATCCGAAATATCTCCGCATAGTTCTTTATTCTTAGTCTTCTATAATCACAAAAAACAGGTTAGATGAAATCTTTCAAGTTTGCGCGTTTAATATATATACGTATGTCTCATTTCAATTTTCCAAAATGGACGAAATGTCATTTTTCCAGGAATCGTGCGACACGAATTGTGTATTTTGTTACACTTGGCGCTAATGCTGCGCGTGAAAGTCTCATTGTCGCTGATTGCTACAAATTGCAACACGTCCGCGTTCGACACAATCCGTTATTTTTACTTTTTTGTTTTTTTTTTACAACCGCGCAACACAGATCGCCGCATATATATATATATATATATCCAAAGTCTGCGTAGATTTTCCGGTAGAATTATTTTTTTCACGACCCGTGTAGAACGACAGCTGCAAATTACCCGTGATTTGCAGCGCTCGCGCGCCGCGATGTGCGGTGGCGATTGAAGCTGCAAATCGCACCGTCTGCGTGTGACAGGTAATTGTTTCTTTCACATCTGCACCTGGTCGATTTTTGAGAAAGGTCCGCGGGTGAAGCTTTTCTATCAAATTGCGCTTGATTTTTATTTTTCAGATTGCAAATTGCTCGCGGTGTTTCGTTTTTTTTTGTTCATCGCGTCGCAGGAAAAATACGCGCGTATATTGTTTTTCTTATTGCAGATTTATATCGTACTTACAAGATACAGATTTTATGTAAATATGTCACACTCTCTGATCTGTTGGGATCAGACATTTGCATAAATAAATTTATGCGGTCAAATCAATATACAAGTTAATTTCCGGCTTCTCGCCGCACAGAATTTGTTGCAAAACCTTAACATATTTTAATTATCCAATTAATATTTCCGTCTCGTATCGCGCAATCAATATATTTTTATTTTCGCTTTCTTGATTTTTTCTCATTAACGAACGTTCGTTAAAGTTTCAGACGACAACTCGCGCCCTTTGATCTTCGCGCGAGAATTGCAGGAAGATCTCTCAACCATATATGAAAACTCGACTCGTTTACATCCGCAATCTAGGATTCTTCCTTCTCGCGCCGTCGTTTACAGGTTTTATTAGAAGATTAAACAAGACGAACTGCAGAGAGTCATCCACGGCTTGGATTCGTAAATGGGAACTCCCACCTACCAAGTCGGGAAACTTTTCTCGTTATTCGGATAATACAATAAGTCCCGCACGAGAGACGGGACAAATGAAATACGTTCGTTGTGTAAACTTAAATAACGCGTCCCGCGAATGCTATAACGGAAACTTCATCACGGTGGTGTCACGACACAAGTTCGCGGCGAATATCAATCTGCAATTATCTTATATTCACGGAAATATTTGCAAATTTTTACGGGATTAAATCGATTCTTCGGACAATAACGTCATTTTTCCATTATTGACGAAGCGTTATACAAGTTAGATTTTTCAAAGTTGTTTTCTCTAACTCGACATGTGTACAAATTTCAATTCCAATAAAAACAAACGTATTTATCAGGACTTAAAAAATAAAAAACAGAAATATTTGCAATTACCGAGAATAAAAGATACAAGTCTCACATAAAAATTAACATAAAAATCATCCGCGAATTAGCTTTTGCTAATTAATATAGACGCGAAGACAAACGTTTACTTTTTTTTCACTTTTTCAGCATGAACATTGTTTCTCGCTTTTCAATTATCATTCGGTCAAATTAAGCGAGAGAAAAAATTGTTGTCTGCACTCTCTCGTGTTTCGCAAACCGCGTGACGAGCGAAACACGTGAGAACAATATCGAGAGAAATGTGAAACGGCTGTGTGCGCGCGCGCGCGCGCGACAATTTGCCGTAATTCATTTACTCTCATAACGAAGCTAACAGATGACGTCGATCGTCTAGCGGTTTATTGTTGATCGATCGTGGAAAAGCGAAATTGATATTTTGCATAGGTACACACGTACTGCGATTTAATATCAATTCAAATAAAGTTGTCTGTTATTGCATACGTTCTCTCCGCCGTCAATTAAAATATTACAATGTTTGCTCCGCATATTAAATCCTCTCGGCAGTTTATATGCAATTAAACAATGTAGTTTTTTTTTTTTTTTTTTTTACATCTACTTTATACACAATCGTTTTAAATTGTTCGAACGAATCGAGTAATTGCACAGAGTTTTATTACTTGTACAAGTAATGGCCGACCGAAAGTTCAAGAAGTTGAAGCGCTCCTCAGCTAAGTTCACTTTACTTTAGAATGAGAACTTACTCTCCGGAAACTTAACCTGTCCCGCTAAGAATGTTCATCTTTGACGAACGAGGTAAGAAGTAGAACGGAGCAAACATTGCCGTCTTATTTTTCGCTTAATTACTTCTGTTAATTGTTGCGCACATGGCTTTGAGACATTCGCGAAGCTTGAAAAAACGTGCATTTGTATTGTTTATAATGTAACAAAAATTTTTTCGAACATCTCCGAACGGAATTTTCTAAGTATTACGACAATGTTATTACGAGACACGCGACAAAAACAAATGTGCATCATCGGTATTAATTACAGAAAACATTATTAAAACGTTATTCGGCCTTTGACCTTACATTGCCGTTATTAATTAACACCATCTGTGATTTTCGTTCCGATGAATGATTTAAATGCAGATATGTACACACGTGAGATTCTCATATAGTGCCAGCACGAGAAAGCTGTAGTAATTAGATGTGCGCGGTTTGCCAAACATTTACTCTGGCTCTATCCAAATTTATCCCCATAACAATATCGTCCACGAAATTTAGCCCGTATTAAACGGGACAAATATTGACTGCAATTTGGTAAACAGTCCACTCGGTGTGGAATCATGTTTCCGCAAAGGTGCGTTCTTTCTTCTTAAATTAATATTACATAACTTTCTACTAGTTACTCGGTATCGCATCGTCAATCGCTTGTGTTCAACACTCGAATAAGACAAAATACAATTATTTTCTTTTAATCAATGGTTTTCTTTTTTTCTTCAGAACTTTTTAAAGTGTTTTTGAGAGAATAACAGACACAAAAAAGAAACAAACAAATTGAATTCTATTTGTAGTCTTCGAAAGTACTTACCTAGTAAAGACAAGGCACAGTAACGTAGCGCTAAGGATCATCAGCTGCTGACTCAATGCGGATTGGGACTTTTGCATCGCCCTGTGTAGGTCGTTCTGAAATAGAATTACCAATTACCGTCGCTCGCGAATCGAATTTAAGCTCAACGTTAAATTAGGGATACGATCGGTTTGGAGATGAGCTACTTACAAACATATTCTCCAGGGAATGCTTTGCCAGCCAGCAATTTAGGAACACGGGAATGAACAGATTTCTCATTGGCGGGTACAGTAACTGCAAATACAACCCATCGATATCGTCAGTTACAGCGTTACGACAAATATGCTGCAGGTTTAATTATTTATAACTAATTACCTACATAATTCTATAATATCTCGGGAGAGAAAGCGAAATAACGTTTTAATTTGACAATCTTACAAATATTTTATTTCTGAAGAAAACCAAAATTGGCAAATGAAAATAACATTCTTACAATCAAATAAAATATTGAGAACGCAAAATTATAACCAATTAAAGAAAGAAAAATTATATTGCTTCGAATATACAATAAAATTTTGAACACACTTGTATTTATGTCGCAATTCTGATTCTTTAGGAATAGCTCTTGAGACATCTCGAATTTCAATAATTAACTCATTGGTTGAGCAATCGTTCGTCATTTGCAAACTGTACGATGATTTATAAATATCTGGCGTCTGTTTATATCAGGCAGTCGCAGATATTTATGGTGCAAGCACGGGGCTGCTCGGTCTGAGATCGAGTTTACTCGTCGTGCAAGCATCAAAGCACCGACTGTTACAGGATAGACAAATTTGCGTACGTGTTTATATGCAAATTCACCGAGCGCGATGGAAATGATCAAACGTAAGTCCGAACATAGGTATCGGTGAAAAACATTCCTTGTTTTTGTATCTCGCGGCCAGAAGATTGCCGATGCAAAAATAAATTTTGGAAATGAAGTTTTAACTTGCAGCAATTTAATTTTGCAGCATATTTGCCGTTATATAACTTTAAGACAATTTTAATTTATTGAGACAGACAATGTTTTAAACACGTTCGACTGATAATTAGTTTCCTTAAGAGACGTAGTTATTTTCTTTAAGAGAAAATAACTACGCGCAAAACCAGCGGTTTAACAGTTTACAATGTGTTATATCAATGTCACCGCGTGATCCAAAACTAATGAGGTTAAACTAATTAAATTCTACACTACCGAGTGCGCGTCACATAATGTCATTACGTACTGTCCACTGTGAGATAAAGGTTATTCCCTATGGGGCATGCAAAAAATCAATACATCATAGTGTCAAACGTGTATACAACTTGTTTTTCAAGTTAGCGTGGCTTCGCATAAAACAAACGCGTTTTCTGCGTGTAATTCTGAAAATGGTTTTTTTTTTTTTTTTTAAATTACGTTTTCATCAATTATTTTTATCCTTGCGCAATTTTAATTAATAACATTCTGTTTTTATATAAGATTTTGCGTAACTTCAATTTAATATAAAATCCAAGAAAAAAAATATGCGAGAGAAAATTATGTCGTTAGAACGGAGCAACGTGTGTAAACGTTGTTTTTTTATTTCAACCGTCAACCCAAATGCCAAAAGTAAGTAACAAATGCGTAAAATACATGATCCTCTTAGTGACTCACCGTGATTGTGAATGGGATAGTGTTGACCAATTCCAGGATGAAGTGGAAGGATAGGAGCTGCTGCCAGACATTTCCCTGTGAACATTACGAGGACAGCTCAACACACCCAGTGACAATTTTATCAGCGTAGCAACTGTGAGTTTCAAAAAATAAATGCGCCATGTTTCGCCGTCCTGTCTACAAGAATTACTAAAGCGATCTCGCGCGTAAACGTATTAAAAAAATGGAAAAAAAGCACTTTGACGACTTTAAGAAAATTCTTCTTTTTTTTTTTTTTTTTTCAATCGCTTTGCCTTCACATTCGTTACGTCGCGTTTATTTCCCTAAGAAAATTTATACTTGTTATCTCGGGACTGTGTTAAAACACTTTTTCCGGAAATCGTTTAAACTCGCGAATGCAGCGTTAAAAAACGCACAGCGAGTTGCACTCAGAGAAAACTAAACGGAAGTTAATAGACTCTTAGATTGCCTCATAAAAACTATCATTTGCCGCGGGCGGTAATTAACTTTGAGACAGAAAGGGTGAATACGAGCGTAATCGGATCAGGAAACTTCTTCGTCTCGCTTCTCCGGAAACTGTTGGCTGGCTTGACGCACATCTCATCGCCGTGGGAGAACGTGACGCGCATATTGCAATTTTTGCTCGGACCACGATCTTTCATCGCATTATGCATCCTTCCTTTGACGTTAACGACCGGCTCTTTATCCTGATAAAAGTTTCGCATTCACGGGAAGCAGCTGCTTAATTAGAACGGGAAATATTCCTCATTTATACGAAATTATTTACGCTAGGGTTTTCTTCCAACGAATCTCCTCTCTCGTTCGAAAGAACGTTGTTTGCCACGACTCTCTAGAATTTTCCATATAATTTATTAAAACAGAACGTGTGTAGGCACTTAGGCTACACGTTCGCGCACACACATGTGCGTTACACGTGTTCGGGAGAATATTAAATTAGAGAAGCATGTTCTGTGAAAAAAAAATGGCGTGTTTTAAAACAATTTTTTATTTACCGTCTCGTTTTATCATGGAATATTCAATAGGAATCATCATTATCGTACACGTTGTATGTTCATTTGCCGTATCGCAATTTTTTTATGTAGGCTAAACACACATCGAGAGCATTTTACGCTCATTAGCATTTTACAACTAATAACACACCGTCGTACAAATTAAATGCGCAACTTTCATGACAATGAAACTATTTTCTCTCTTTATCTTGAAAAATTATCACTTGGAAAATTGCTTCCATGCACGTCCGGCTTCGTGAGCAAACTAAATTATTAAACTTTTCACTTTGTGTGTTACACGAGTATTCAGTTTTACTTCGGGAAAAAGAAACTCGCGAGAATCAAAAATTTTATTTTTGACATAGTTCATAAAGAAAGAGAGAAAGAGAGGAATCGCGCGTTAAGTCTAATAAACTATTACATTTTTTTCGTACGCACGGTCTCTATACGCACGATTTTTCAAAAGTGCTGTTTCAATGGTAAAATTTCCTCGATCTCTTTTCTTTTTAGTAAAGTTTTTCTCGTTATACGTACGTTGCACATCGTATTATCGCAAATGGTACGGCAAATAGTACAAAAAAGCCGCAAGCGACGCAACATCGAGGATTGCAATCAGGCCAGCGACGTTGCGCAAATGCTCTCAACGATCATTGATCCTGCTTTTATTCTTTGTTCGGTTCTCTTTATACGGGGGATAGAATTTTTGTAACAAAAAATCTGCGCGAGCTACACGCGACACACACACACACACACATTTCTGTATCGGATTACCACGGTGTAAAGGACTCTCCGCACGCGCGTCACGGCAAATCCTTCACCTTGGCTCTAAAGCGAGTTGAAATTCCTTTGGAAAAGCATGTCCGATGAGCCGCTGTATACAGAAACGCGTGCCTGCACCCCAAGTGACTAAGGAAAGCCCGAACAAACGTTTACGAGAGGAACGTGGGAGTCTCATGACGAGGGATTCCTTTGGATCTAGACGACTAGTGGGTAAATTTTCATTTATATGCGGCTTTCATATATGTATCTCTGTCTTTTTGCTCGCGCGCCCGCGCAAAATAAGCTCAATTTAGATTTCCTGACGTGTCTTTCGATATCGCTTTATGCAATTAACCCTCGAACGCTAAATGATATTGCGTCCCATTTTACCAATAGACACGCTCCGCATAATAATAGCAAAGGGACGCGATAAGAGCTTCACGTAGATATGGCAATAAAAATATAAATAAATAATTTTTTTTTTTTAAATGTCATTGACAAAAATATTAGACGTGAGTTTCGAACGAAAATTGATTAATTTGTACGAGAAAATCTGAAATTTATTCATTAAATTTACTTCTTAAACGCAACTGCATATTGCGTCGCAAAAATTCAAAACAAAAGCAATTTTCCTTGTATCGAAGGTAATCGCTTTGTGTAACTTTTGTGTTTTGTATTGGTTCCATGATCAACTTCCGGACAACAATCACCGTCGTTGCGTCGCAGAAGGAGCATCAAGACAGCGCAGCATGAGCAAAGAATCTCGAGGAAAACATAAATCTTCGTCAGCTCTGCGACCGACGAAGTTTTTTTTCTTTTAACGTGTCGGGATTTAATATTATAAGGGCTGCTGCATGGGTTTACATACAACGCGCGGAATAATTTGTAACTTCGTAAGAAAGTAAGAAATACAAAAATGTCTAACGTGTAAGACAAGAAGACATTAAGCTCGAATAAAACACAATATAAAATAGCAAAGTGATTTTTCTCAGTTAAAAATATAACTTTTAATTATTCCGTTTAATTGTATTCGTTTTATTATCTTACCGTCTATTTAAAATATAACTTGTTTGTATATTTAGAACACAACTCTGTTATATTTTTATTCGTTTATTAGCAATAAAGTTTTTATAAGCACTTGCATACAGAACATTCATAATAGAACGCTCTTATTTCTTTTTTCTTTCTTAGAGCAAAAAATTGTCAATGCCGGAAAGACATCAGCGACGCATCCGTGCGGAAATATCGGAAGTGACAAGACGCACTTCTTCAACGGGAAAAATCTCCACGGGCTAATTTTCCCGTCGGTGTTTATATTCATCGAGAACACGAACGTGAATCTAAAGCTCCGCGAGGACCGGGTACGGTACAATAACCGGATAAACTGTTTCGAAAAACTCGACGACGATTAATATCCACCTCTCCCCCAAGGATTACGCGAACCGTTTCTTGCGTCGGCAATTTCAGAAAGTGTTCAAGAGAAGAAGCAAAATAAGATGTGTCTCAAAAACTTTCCGACGTCATCGTGACGCGCGAATTAAAATTTGAATGCGTAACACGTGAAGCATTTTTCGTGATGAAATTTTCATAGTAAAAAACGACTGCGAAAGACGGCCTTCATTATTTTTCTTCTTTCTTTTCGTCCGTCCCGTTGAATCCGCGAGATAACTTTAAGAAAATTTTAGATTATACAGCGCGCTTAAGAAATCGTCTTCAAAACGGATTCGCAAAAGCCTGCTTTTAGCGAAATGAACATTACACGATAGTCTTTCTCGCGAATTAGAAAATTTTACCTAATTTGCCGCAAAGATAATCACAATATAAGCTCGCGTATCCGACCAAGAAAACGACTTCTTGCATTCTACTTGCAACTTGGGTTTTTCCTCTTTGCGAAACAGAACTTTGAAACATTTCAAATAACGAGCGGAGAGATACTGTCGTTATATAAAAGAAACGTGGAAACGTTCTCGAGAGCATCGGGAAGAGATGTGCTCGTCGATCTCTGTATAATGATGGAACGTGCAATCAGCTTGTTACGGAATCCCATTACAATTTGTTTCCTTTCTGATCCACTAAGAGACGAGAGACGAGATCCACGTCGCGTGGTATCGCGACTGATACTACGTCGACTACTCTACTAATTTTCGAATCCGGCAAATCCCGAAGGATATCTCCTTCGACACGGTGCGCACTCCGCAACTCGCGGTTAAACTTTCAACACAAGAAAGCTTGATACGATTTTGCGAAGCGCACCGCTGCTTCCAAAATTGAAAGTGACTCCGAAACTATCGCCACACCGTTCGTGAGATATTCCGAGGGATAGAATTTAATTCACCATTGACATTTTCACGTAATCCAGTTAATTTTCTCAAATAATATCGACATTGAATCGAGATTTTTTGAATTATTTTTTGTTTGCTTATTATATTTATATGATATAAAGTGTAATTAAATATATAAAGTGCAATTAATTTTTACAGACAAACTTCGTTAAATGTGTCGAATAATATTTAGAATCGATATTTCATATCAAATGATTAAAACAGTATCTATAACTGTTTCAATGGCACTGTTTATACGAGCATCGTGCGGAGATTTCAACAATTGTCGCGTCTGTCGGAGACTTCGATGATTGGAAACATTTCGAAGGCTGATAAGAAGAATTCGCAAAAAATTCCATCGATCTAAAATCTCACGTGAGCAGTTGAAAATCTTGTTCGAATTTTATCAGATATACGTTGTATTTTTCGTCCATCCGGAATTTTCTTTCTAAATCGCAACGTGAAAAGAAATCAATCTACGATAAAGAATTGTTTTCGCAACGTTAGATTTGACGAGGGATTGTCTTACATGGAGGGAGAGAAGGTCGGAACAATCATTTCCGAGAAATTTGAAACGGAGTTTGAGTTACATAGCAAAACAAACCCATCAACCTCCCCAAGAGAAATATTGTGTTGCGAAGTTTAATAACGGCATATTCGATTAATCCGCTTGAGCGCTATCGACGAAACATTATCGGCTTATCGCCGGAACGCTCGATTAGAGAACGAATAGCGTGACGGACCTGTTATACACACCGTTGCAGATTATATCGCGAATTTTGCACACGCGTGCGAATGGAAACTTGCCGTTGGCTAAAACCGCGGAGATCGGATAATCATTTTCGATATAATCTTTACATCAGATATTTTTCTTATTTCAAACGTTATTAGTTATATTATTCCCGCGTACACAAATTTCCGTACAATAAATTCAAAATTTCACATTGTATAGTTTTACGTCGATCATATCGAATTAGATTTAAGCATAAAACTGGGACATGGAAAAAATGTCTTTTTGTCCATATGCAAAAACATATGTTCTGACAAATCGCTTCTGACTCGCTTGAACAGAAAAGAAAAGATTGTTGCTTCGTGTTTCACAAAGAAACACGTGTTTTGAAAAACTTTTGTCGTCGAGTGTTTAAATGTCAAAGAGAAAATCAATTCGAGATCGTCGACAAGAAAGAGATAACAACTTAGTGAAAGACACACACACATCGCGTCGTGTGCTTACTTTAATGAATTTTCTTTGAAGTCGCGAGCGCACGAGTGTAAAACTTTTTTGTGAAATTTCAGGCAAAACTCGACGGAACTTCTTTTTCTGAGAGCGAGAGTGAATAAAATAGTTTTCGCGAAATATACGTCAGTTTCTCGATATATGACCAAATCGATTCGAAATACTGGCTTAGTGAACCGTGCGAACGTATACACGTATTCCGAACGAATAAAAATAAAAATAAAATAAAATTCACACATTTATATTAATTCGTCCTCAATATGTTCATAAATACAACACGGTAGAGAGATTAGACAGGACGACGAAGAGATATAGCGAATCTGACAAAGCGCGCATATACTTTACTTATATACATGCAGAAACATGCAGCGGAATTTACCATTCGATGAAAATAAATATATCTTCTAAAGATGGCAAACAACGCTTAGTATAATTCAAGAATATTATATATATAATATTAAGTGTATGCAAAAGTTTTAGTCTTTTTTTTTTCATTTCCCTAGTAAAATTATTCTAAATTGAAATATCTTCCTATCCTTTTGTGTTTCTATAACACAAAAATAAAAGTGGCAGAAAATTACAGAAAATGAGAAAAAATATTTCCCAAATTGATTTGTGGTCACTGAATTTTATGATTAACAAGTAAAAGTAAAAAAAAAAGACTAAAACTTTTGCATACACCTAATATAAAGAATATTATATAAACATATATAGGTAATATCAAAATACTGCACAATATATATACATGTATATATATATATATACAAAATTATTTTAAGATTCGCGGAGAGCTTCGTGACTCGATAAAACTATTTTTATCAATTACAAAATATTTGATATAAAAAGCATCTAATTTTGCGAGGAAAGAGAATTGATTTAAAAAAAGAAATATCTCATGTAAATCCTACGAAGCTTTCCGACGATCAAGCTTATAAAATAACGTGCCTGTATATATAAAATAGATAATCCACCCATGAAATATTAAATAATAACAAGGAAACAATTTACTTGTAAAAAGTGTAGAAGAACGTACCTTGTAACCGAGATAGGCGAGCAGCAAGGCCTCGGTCAGCGACACCATCGCCAAAATCACTTGGACCACCCACAACTCGAGCGATCTCCTGACCCAGAGGATCGCGTCCCAATTGATGGTCGGATGTTCCTGGAACTCCTCCTCCGTCAGGTTCTGCGACGCGAGGAACTCGGTCTTGTTGCCAGGTGTGCAACCGTAACTAAGGAGAGAAATCGAGAAAAAAAAGATGGTGAGCAAGTGACGGACGAATGCGTCGATAGAGCGGGACAGATTGTCGCGCGATATTTGCGTGCACGAGTCGAACGGGTTCGATAGCTTTTTCGATATCGAGTGTGGGTCGTTTCGAAGAAATATATCCGTCATATCGCATGGAAAGGTCGCGAAAAAAGTCCGAAACAAGTTTGTGCAAACATATATGAGCGGAGAAAAAGAGAGAGAAAGAGAGAAAGAAAGAGAGAGAGAAAGAGAGAAAGAGAGAGACACGTCTTTCTATTCTATTGAAAATTTCGACATCGACATGTGAAACTTGCATAATATGCCGTCGATCTCGTCAGCTCGACAGACAGTTTCCTCGCGCGAGCAGCTCGGAGTTGATGATACGTGAACGGAAATTTGATCGGAAGCGATCGTAATCACATAGAGTTACTTCGAGTATTGAGAAATTTTACCCGGAACTGAATTTAAAAGGATATTTCAGAGAACACTTTCATCAAGAAATGTTAAATCTATTGATTCGACGGAGAATTCGCGGAAAAAGAAATCAATATAATTTCAAAAATTACTACAAAAAAAAACTAAACAAAGATGCCATGTAAAATTTCTTGGAAATACTGGAAATAACGGAAATCTTCTTGAAAACGCAAGTAATGTGAGTTACTTGCACCGTTACGTGTTATCTTATTCCGGATCGTGATAGGAATGTCATATGATATCATAATCAGACATGAATATTGCGCGACACTCTTTCCGCAAAGATAAAAATTTATTCGGAAAAGTATTCGTCGGCGATAGAACAGAAGAAAAGCAAACAAAGCAATTCGGATTTTGTTTACAATTTTTTTCAATTGTAAGATTTTTAAATATTTCTTCAACTTTTTTGTTTATTTTACTTTTTGATAAAATTAACGAGAGATATTGCATTTTAATAGTAAATAATGAACGGTTCTTATAGCGATCGAATTATTCAAGGAAAAGTAGTTTTAACAGTGACACGAGAAGCTGAAACAAAATTCTGCATATTGGTCCAACTACGCGGACGTATTCCCGCGAAGTAAATGAGACAAAAATGAACACGAGTCAGAATCGTGAATCGCAATATAAAAACAGACATTCAGCTTCAAAAGATAATGAAACAACAATACATTATAACGATATCCGTGTTTCCGCTTGAGCGATTGTTGATTTAATGCAGATGAAAATTCGATGCAAAACTCGCGTTTTTCCCGAGATACGAACCATTACATTCAAGCGTAAAGAATTTGCTCACGGCATCACTTACCATGCTGCAAACGTCGGATCGTTGTCGGTAATAACTCTGAATATGTACAGGAAGCATGTTAGCAGCTTGAAAAACAGATTTGCAAGTCGTATCCTCAAACCTGAAACAAGAAATTCGCATTTCTCTGTTCTCCGTAACTTTCTGATTTTAAAGTTCAATTGTTCCCATCTTGTATATGTAAAAACGTTTCCCATCAATATTTTTATTCCCCTTTTATAAGGTTTGCCGTTTCTTTCCGCGTGTCTTTCTTTTTTAATGTACGTCGAGAAATATACGTTCCAACTCTCTCCTACACAGAATTTACTAATGTCATTCGGTTCTCAAAAGAAAGAGATCCCTTATCAGCGCACAGCCGTGCGTTAAATTTCCTGTATAAATATCCACAAGGCATATATAATTTTTCCCGAGCGAATATCTTCGCGATATACCGCCAGTTCCGAAAAAACAACTTTGATTCAAAGTAACCCGACGTGAAATTTCTTTTACGTGAAAGAGAACATCGCCTGTAAGGCGCGTTTTATGAGATAAATTTTTATTCAGAATGTTCCCGATGTTTTCTAACTTTCGATTATTCGCGCGTAAGAAAACTCTGTAACAATAATAATACTTATTGAATTTTTTATTAAGATTCCCAACCGATGGTCTAAATATTATTTAGTGCTGTCTAAATAATGTGGCATGATATATTAAAGCTCGGTCGCGGATTATTGTGTGTCTCTTCAAAGTTACGTAATATAGTTTTCATCGAGACTTTCGACCGAAGGCCGGGCCTGTGCTTGCCTTCGCTCAACTCTATCGACCGTTCGGAGGCGGCTTTAACGATATGCTTTAACCAGTTGCCCGCGACAAACTTCACAAAGGGCAGCAAAGCGTTGACCTGTTGGGTTCACGACGTCCTAATGCAGGAGGTCAGGTACAAAGGTCAACGCCGATCCGAGAGAAGAATCCTCGCTCGCTCTGGCAACAATATCTATTATCGGCCGTCGCCATCAGCGGTCACAGAAAGTACGGAATCGCGCGCTCTTACGCGATATCCGCGGGGATGATGACGGCGACGATATCCGACGAGATTGCCTTTAAAATGTCCCCGCCATTTCGAAAGGAAGCAATCGAGACCGACGCGTTTCCGGCGAAACGTTTCACGACAATCCGACTATTTCCGACACAAATTTCGTCTCGAGAAGAAGATTCTTGTTTGTCGCATCTCGGAAGAAAAAATTACGTAATATTTTAGTTCTCGTTGTTATTGTTAACGTATTAAAGTGATCATCGTGTAGAGTTTACGGACGGAATTTTTAGAACGACGCTGCGCGATATTTCGACAAACAAGCTGCGATTGAAGATATCAGAATAATATATACAAATAATATATACAAATAAAAATGTAAAAAACATGTTCGTGTAATAATCGCTACTGTGCTAGCGCGTTACGATACAACGCAGATAGTAATACACAGCGCTATCAAATTATACGAGATAGAACTGCAGATATGAATTCACATGATTTCTCTCCCTCGTCGTATGTACGACGTGAGACACGTACGATCAAATGTATCGATATTAAAACGCGTGATATCACACGCAAAGCGTAACAAACGATTTCCCGACGACAATTGTGATCGAATATTATCTTGCGATAAATTCTTAGCAACGAAACAAAAACACACAAGACCAAAGACTGATCGCAGAATAAACTAATCCACAACTATAATTAGAACTTGCAATTTTTTTAATGCCGCTATCGAAGGAACAGGCGGCTAAATAAAGCGCTTGTGGACTCCCACTCGATTCATAATCTTAAGTGTTCGGGGAATCAATTTATGTTTATTCTTATTTGCAGTTATGTAATACGAATCGATCGTGATCGCTGTAACGTTCCGGTCAACGTGAATGAGAAATACTGACCTGAAATAATATGACGTGTCGAAACATTGATAGTTATCACAAATAACTTTTAAAAATATTACGCAGAACTTGTTTTCCACATTTATATGAAATCTTTTATATCTAAAAATTCTAAATGGATTTACATTAAAATTGACCTCAAAAGTTGTGAGCCACAGATGTGACACATAATATTTAGTAAACAGCGTTTTTAACAATGTTTTTAATTTTGAAACGTTTCGATTATTTATTTCTTTTTGATCATCATCAATCAATTTGTACGATTAAGTCAAAACTATTTTTATGTATTTTTTGCATGACGTTCTAGAAAATTTAATACAAAGTCAACTTGTTAATGAATGTTAATATTAACAAGAGCCTTGATTTATTCACGTTAATATCAAAATATTTAACTACGAAAACAGAAAGCCATCAGTCAAGCCAAACAAATTTAAATCAAAATTAAATCAAAACGTAAAAGTGATTATTTCGTTTATCACATAAAGTCAATTAACGAAGAAGAGAAAAAATTCAAAGTAAAACACGAAATCACGTATTTATTTTATCGATTACACTCATTCCGTGTGTCTTTTATTTTTCAAATTCGAGTAGTTTGACATATCGATATATTTTAGATGAATTTTTTTCCAACTATTAATTTTACTCTCAGTTTTTAATGTTAGAAATGTGTATATTTCCTCAAAAAAATATTTTGTCAATTTTTTATCATCAAATGTTATTGTAAAATCTCCCGCGTTTTTATGTTCACTTTTTTATTCAAATTTGACAATATGTCTCGTGTCGATTTTCACGTTTGTCATTGTTAAGAATATCACCCTTTAGATTTTTTTTTCATCAAAAATATTCCGAAAAATATAATTTAGAAAATATATAAAATTTATTTGCCCCATAAATCTCTCTACTCACTCGAACGTTGGTTCTTGATGAAGTACAGCTGCAGCCGTTCCTTGAACGTGTTCTCGTTCACATAATACTCGACGCGAACTCTGAAAACAGACAGACAATATTACCGCTAACTGATTTCGCAAACTTTCCGTAAGTGCTAACTAGATCGTTATCTCTAACTTTACATATACACGACTGCGCGTCCGACCGTAGTCGCAGCCGATAAACTTCAGCAACTTCCACATATTTGTTTGCAGTGACACATTGCGAAGCTAGCTTATCGCTAGTTGTTGCTGTTATTATCATTTTTGCGAGCGAACTTTTGCAACAATTTTCTAATATTTTCCAAGAATCCCGGATATCGATACGTAAGATGTGACGCATAACGTCACGCTAGTGAACACTCATATCTATTTCCGCACGGAAAGAACTTGTTGTTCCGCGGCTATTTCGAGATCAAAAAGCCCGACAAGACATGTCGTTTTATTATTAGGCTCGCATGACTAATCGAACAGTGCAACAGGACGGCGCGCGCATACGCCACTCAAATTCTCATTATTGCTATCTGCTCCGTATATGACTTGAATCATTTCTATTCAACTGACAAGCGTTAGTGAGAGAGAAAGAGAGAGGAGTGGTGTTTTTTGCAATATTCATTATAAAAATTAGCACATTGATTACAAATTACATGACGACGCGATGTCAAAGATATTCAAGCCATATTTCTCTTGTAATTCATTATGTTTCTGTCTTGTTATGTGTGTGTGTGTGTGCGTGGAAATGTGTAAGCGCATTGCGCAAAAAACTTAATTCATATTTTTTTCGAGAAACTTCAACTGTCGACAATGTTTAAGATCTCGACTTTTTTGTGGGAGAAACAACCTCACGGTTTAGATTAGAGTGAAAACCGTGAAAGGTCACTAAATTTAGTACACGTGAGAGATAATACGCGCATACAATCTTCATATAATTAAACTGTCAATCTACTCAAACGCGCGGGCATATAATTGTCTCGTTTATCAGTTTCATCGTGTCCATTATCGTCGCTCGCGTCCTCGCGTTCGTGCGCGCGTCCAAATTGAACCGGCAGCGGGGGTCAGGGAACGGAATCGCGAGCGTGCAACAATCATTGTTGTTATTGTTACTACTGCATCGAGGCGAACAAGTCGATCTCATTGGTCGACCGTTATTTTGCTCGGTCGTGCACCGCCGCAGTACCTATTTTTAGCCGCGGCAAATGCGTCGGCGTTGCCGAGAATAGCGTCGCGTGACGTCACTGGGCCGGCGTCGACAGGCGGTCTGTCGTACGCGATCGTTCCCAGTTGTTGAACTGGTTCTTTGACCCACATAACGTCACGAATGCCTGACCTAGGCTATCCGTCCTCGGCGAACGCCGAGAAACGGAAGGAAACGATATGGCGCGCGCGATCGAGAAGAACGAGCCGCGGTTGAGCGACTTCTTCCACTTTTTCTGATTCTGACGAGACGCAAAGTGTCAAGAAACGTTCACGAACCGCAACAGATGTTTTTTTCGCGAATCGCGATACGTTGGCGCGAGTTGCGATAAAAATAATTAATCGAAGTCGTTTTTCATCATCACGCGCGCTTTATTCTTTTGATGATTCAAGACCGATGCGATTGGTTTATATTTTGCAATCGAAAAAATAAATAGATACGTGTAAAAGTTCGACAAGTGTTCTTTTTTTCGAGAACAAGTTTTTCTATTTAGTCGTCGTAATTTTTCTAAATGAAATGTATTTTTTTTTTTTTTTTTTTTTTTAATATGTACGATGTTATCGCGCATTAAATACGTGTGCTGCATAATTAACGCTCTAGGCAAGCGCGTTTATGGAAAATAAGAAATAAATGTAAGAGATTGACGATATGCACGATTAATTATAAAAAAAAAGTTTGCGATAAGAAGTAGATGCGTCACGACGGGCGTGTCGAATTTTCTCTCTCTCTCTCTCTCTCTCTCTTTCTCTCTCTCTTTCTCTCTTTCTCTCTCTCTCCTTCTCTTTCTCTTTTTCTCGCACAGAGTTATTCAGATAATAAAACAATTTTTTAAATTAAAGGTTTTGGTTTACCAAAAACATTTAACACAAATTTGATCAAAATAACTTGTCGCATTGTAACGAGTTGAGTCGTAATTTTTATATTTTTTGACACAAAAAGTATAACGGATAAAGCAAAGAGTGTCTGACACACAAACTGTTTCTCGACGTAAGAGAGATATCGCGTATCGAACACACAACTCGCCGTTTCAAAATCATCCAGCCCGAAAGATCTAACGCAAAGTGACACGTATTGCCGTACTTCGCCGAAGCGTGAAAATTTTGTGGAACATCGGCGCGTAACGACGCGATCGTGAAAAATCGGCCGACCTCGGAGAAGAATTCGATACGCAAAATGCGAAATCCTTCAAGCTTCCGCGGGAGTGGTTATCGGAACAGCGCGAGCGATACAAAGCAAAATGTATCAGCGCGCGAGGTTTGTGTAGACCGAATATCGTTGCAGTTTCCGCGACGCGCGGTGCCTCACCGTGATCGGCCGTGCGAACGAGAAAGCGGCCGCGCACGTTTAGCAGGCCGTAAATAATGCACTGTTGAAATATGTGGGTCGGTGCAGTCGATGCTTTCGTTTCGAGGATAGCAGAGAGACCGCATTAACACACTCTGCCGATTGAATTTGTTAATAATGTTCGAAAGTGAATCTTCATTCGCGGCTGTTAATTTTAACGATCGAATAATGTTGAAAATACAGGTAAGCGCGACAAGAGACGCGCGTAATTTTACGTTGTATCTCTCGTCGACAAGCGCGACATCTAAAGAGAAAAAAAAACTACACGCGTGGAAGAAAAATCAGATCGCTGTTTGAGACTATCGCCACATTGAGAGAAGATCATAAATCACAGAGTTAATGGACATCAATCAGTCGTCATTTGGGATCGCTTTGACGCGGCGACAAATCGAGAACGGAAACGACGCGCTGCATCGTCGCGCGATAATTGACAGCTTCATTACGACGCCGTTTCTAATTACATCGCATGGGAATGCGGTTCACAGCGATCGTCAGCAATTTCCAATTGAAATTGCGTCCCGGGAGGTATCGCGAGGGGTGACAGTTGCGAGCCGTGCATCGAGCTTTGCATCTGTAAAACCGACGCAACTCATCTCATCGACGGAATTGATCGCAGCTCCGCGAAGTAAAGTCGGTCTTTTTAGATTGGTTCATTGTTGACGTTTACTTTCGGACCGGAGATTAGACCGGTTTATATAGTGCGTCTTAAATGACTTTGTCTTGAGCCGCAGCGTGAGAGAAGATAATATTTGCACAGCAATCGAATTAAAATAAAAAATAAAAAAAAAAAAATGTTTATTCAGCTTCGAAATAGAGGAAGCAGAAAGCACGTCGTTCCTGCGATTCCAATTAGTAGAAGAGATCGGTGGCAGTTCGTTAATTTTGAAATTGCAACATAATTTTAATAAAAACGTTTAGGTGAAACGTTCCTTCTCGGTCTAATTATTTTGAATCTAAAAAAAATCTAAATTAAAATCTCTCATTTATATATGTATTTATATATGTAGTCATTTAATTAAACTAAACCATCGCAAATAGTGAACATCTACAACAGAGAAACAAATTTTACTTATAATTTGATTTACATTCTATCCAGATGTAATTTGTACAAATTATTATCGTTAATAATTCTCTGTGTATATATTTGTGTCCAATAATCAGCGTAATAAAAAGCGGTTTAGCAAGCAATTAGGTTCGGATAAATTAAACTTGTATCGGCCTACTGAATTGTGGATTAATATGTATACGTTTGGGATCGGTGAACATGAATCGTCGGTTTTTAAACAGGATCACAAATCACTTTTATTTTAATGTAACGAATGTCTATATACCGTCCGGATTGGATCATCGCCGAAAGGTCAATCCGCAGTAATGAGTTCCGGAAAGTGTCGTCCCGACTTTTACGAACTTTCAGCGTTCCGCAAAGTATATAACGCTTTTACGTGATAGTGACGTAAATTTATTATTACGCTTTTAGCACACGTAAATGACGACACGCCCGATTATATAACTCTGATTTCAATAATTGAGTTATCAAATAGCAGAAAGAAACATTTACTCGTTCATGAGTTATTCATATTTGGATTGTCGCAATATTTATATACACATATATATATACATAAATACAAGATAGAGAGAAAGTTTGGTGTAATTAAAATAGATGAAAAATACAAAATATTTAAACAGAAATTAAATGTATCGTCGCACGTACTGGTATCGCATAAATGAACGATATGGTCGTACAAATGAATTTCGCGCTCTAAATTCTGTTTTCGCGAAGCACAGTAATTCGTTAAAAACCACATCTGTGAGAATTCAATTCGCGTTGCTCCTCAATTATCCTTGAGCTATTATTAGCTTCTAGTTTGTGTATACCGACGTATTAAAGTATTTGGTGTGGAATAAGCTGCGATTGCCGGTTAATTAAACTCCCGACAAGGAACAAGTGGCACACAGGCAATTCCGGGTCTTCCTCCACTCAATTGAGATACAATCGCGAGACGGGACCGCCATTTTCCGCTAGAATCATTAACAATCTTTGTGGTGGATTCACTCTCATTACTATGTACAAAAATATTATTTTGGCGTTTAAATTACATCGCAATTTAATTCAATATCGTTGATTCATTATCGGTGATTGTATTTTTTTATTATATATATAAAAAAATTCATAAAACTGACGCTTTATTTATTTATGATCTCTCTCCGAGCTAATTGATAATCGCGTTTATGCAGACAAAAACGATGAACGAATCCAAGCCAAGTACGCGTTTCTTTTTATTATTTATGAATTATGCAACTGGATGTATTTTGCTTTCCTCCGCTACGCCGATCAACTTTTTCACTTGTAACAATATTGATTTTATGGAAATAAAAAGCGCCATATATGTATGGATATGCATGAAATTATCCATCGTCAAATATATGTATCGGCAATGAGAGAGAGAGAGAGAGGGTGAAAATTTTCGAAGCCTTGGTTAAGCATAAATAATCTGGAAAGCAATTTGCATAAACATATATA